AAATACATTGCTATAAATACATTGCTATAAATTCATTGCTATAAACACGATGCAAAAAATACATTGTGATGTTTTGTGCACGACTTTATGATATTCCTAAAGTTATAGATGATAAACAGTCTTATCTCTTTAGGAGAGGCAGCGACATTTAAAATAGCTGAAATTGTCACAGTTCAGAAATAGGACTGCATCAGTTAGGATAATGCCTAATTGCCGATATAATATGGGACATTTGCATCAGTAAAAGGAAAATGGAATTCTATGGAAATAAAATCTTTGATGTTTATAACTTATAGTTTTCCCAATACTGCAAGTGGAACTAAATTGTTAATAGCAAAGAGTTTTTTGAAGGATTTTCTTTGAGGAATTTGTTTGTTTGTTTGTTTTTATTCCAGATTTACTAGATAATTTTATGTTGTAATGGTGATAGCTGAGAAGAACATGCAATTGTTTTGTTTTTCTTTTTATTCATATTGTACATGTTTGAAGTGGAATTAAAGGAAAAAATCATGGAATTCTTTTTAAGGAAATTGGTTCCTTTGTATTAATTGAAATAAAAATGGTTTTAATGGAAAGGAAAATGCATTTTATGGACAAGTTTCTGTATAAAAGCACAATGACCAACGTTATTGTTACTCTGACATTAAGATGTGAAACAAAGAAGGAAACAATATAAAAGGTTCTTAGTAGGGAAAGACATTATTCCAACATTTCTTACTGATAATTTACCAATTCCCTTAATAATAAAGCTGTAAGTAGAGTATGATTTCTCAGTTGTAACTGATTATCATTTCACCATTTTATAGCGGTCAGAAGCGAGTTTTTGTTGTTTGTTTTCGTGATGGAGATCAATTAAGGTGATTCGGTGTGCCATTTTACATACTCTTGTCTCGACTTTCCTGACAAATTGTTACTTCTAGGGATGCTCATTTCTCTCTCTGCTTTTATTGTAATTTGAGAATTATTTGAAAATATTTTAAGTGATTTTTCCTTTCTTTTTCAAAAATTGTTTGATATGGTGTGGTGCTAGAAAATGTAAAATGTTAAGGGAAACATAATTATCTGGAGCATTAATTTTAAGTTTGATAGTTTTTCTTTCTTTTTTTTCTGAAATTTTAAGGAAATTGATATTTTCTGAAATTTTAAGGAAATTGATAAGAATTGATAAGAATAAGAGCTATATTGTGCTGGATTAAATGGAATTATTGTGTTGGATTTTATAATTAAGTGTGTATTTTTTGCTGACATTCTTTCATGTCTTCTTTATATAATGGAAGCAGTCTTCAAGATTTAAATCATATTATGACAATCATAATAATTATGCTGAAATAAGATGAAGGCAAATTTTGTAAATAGCATTTCCTTACGCTGAAAATGGATATAGTTTGGAATAATAAAAAACTGGATAAAGTGTGATCCCTCGGAAGCATTCATCATAACAAAATTTCATAAAAAATGCAGACTCTGTACATGAGAGGTAATGAAAAATTGCAAAACAAATAAGTATTTTGACTCGAGTGTGTCAACAAGTTCTTACAACTTAAATAAATCACAGATTCCATGAAGTCTGCTTTCCTGAAACTTACCAGTTCTGTTGTCACATGAGGAAAAATCAGGTCATGACCTGATTTGCAAGACAGAGAACCTTATCAACGAGGCTACATATGGACCCCTTAAGTGTTATAAAATAAAGTCAGAATAAAGTAAAGGAAAAATTGAAGATGATGGACCCCTTAAGTGTTATAAATTTTGTTTAAAGTTGAGAAGAAAACTGAGATAGATATAATGCCGATATATGAATGAGAAAGAGAAAAATGTTTTAAATATTTTCTAATATTTGGTGGAAGAACAGATTGTGAACTTCTGTTTTGCCGGCTCGCCACGGCGAGCCGGTATTACGGTAGGATTTTACTTAGAAACAACCTAAAACTCCGAATCCATCCAAAAATTTAATCTAAGCTTGGCTTCCAGCTTTCTACAAAATTTAACTGTCTGGGCTGGATCCAAAATAATTAAGCCAATCAAATTTGATCTTACATAGCGTCAAAAAACCTTCAATTTTCACGCCATTTTTAAAAAGCAACACGTATTGCTTTGAGCGCAAAGATATAATGATGATAAAATATTTGTTTTCATGAATTCTTTTCAATAAATCATATTTACACTGACTTTTGATTTAGCGATTTCACCTATTTTCTCTGTAGTAAGTTAAATAATTAACAATTAATTGGTTAATTAACATAAGTGTACATCTGGTTCTGTGCATATTTTCTTTTTTTCCGGTAATTTTATCTTTTCCGGTATTTTGTGGATATACTATTCTCCGGTCCGGTCGCTTCCGGTCTCTCCCGGTCTATTTTGACCGGGATTTACGAGACTTGAGAACTTGTACAAATCAAATAATCATGCCCCATGAATCTAAATTCGCCCACACCCAAGAGAGTTCTTCAGTAATATATTCCTGTATAGGACTTGTGTCTGTCACTCATTCCAATACTAAATAACATATTACAACTTAACTTTGTATAAAGAGACATCTTTATGAATTCTACCTATCTAACATTTTTTGGTCAAGGTCAACAGGCCATATAGTAAATGTGCATAGACATAGGGACTTCATTCTATCTGTTTACATGCATCTTCATATATACTCATATTCCACTTTGTTAAACTGAGAGAACTGGCTTCCGTAACTTTATATGTCACTTTTATTTTGATGTTCGCTGAAGTCTCTTCAGGTACAGAACTGTCATTTTTACATTTAAACACACCCCTGGAATAAAATTACGAAGCGAGTCGCTACTAGCTTTTTTAAAAGCTAACCTTGTATTGTTTTACGCAAGACATGTTTTGCTGTCTAGTTAAGATACCATAGGGAAAAAGAATAGGTGATAAAGAAGGAATAAAGGAAATGAGATAGAAAGTTTAAATCTGAAGATTATTCAAATATCTGCACAGACTGGCACACTACGGTATAAAACAGAGTATAATATATATATATATATGGACTAACTTTAAAAAATTCACATCATGTTCAGAATTGGCTTATGATGTATCTGATAAAAATATGAGAAAATAGTTTTAGAAAACAACAGGTTATTACATTACAGGTGTCAGTTCTGTGGCCCTTTTGTTCATTGTTAGTTGTTTTCTGTGATAAGTTTCAGAAATGGAAGGATAGGTGTTTTTTGTTGTTTTTTTTGTTTGTTATTAAGTTACAAACGAAATATTTACCATTGTTGACAGAGTAAAGGATATTGATACTATAATGAAGACAAGAATATGTGTGATATTTGTCTGTCAGGAGAATTGTTTTTTCCTACGGTCAGTTTTAAGGATGGATTTGTAAGTGCTTGATCAACAACTCTTAGGCTTGAACAACAAGTCTGGTGGTAGTCAGATTGTCTTTGATATTTATTAATGAAAAAAGAAAAATGGTGACTTGTATCTCATAATTATATATCTTTCTAATTGGATTATCTGAGAATTGCATTATTTGAGAATTTTCTTGGGTATTGGGTTGATTTATCTCAGTCTGAGAATGTGTATACTTTAATGGTAAATTTGAAATAGTTTTTAAAATCAAATGGATTATACTGTACATTTCTGGGAAATAATGCCTAAATAAGTGAATTAAAATGGGAAATAGGAATTCTGTTTTATTGTTTCACATGACACCAAAACCTTTCAAAAGATCATCAGTGGATTTTAAACAAAGCAGGTATAGTTTTCTATGAATTCTTGTAATAAAATTACATTGAAATTGTGAGCCAAATTTAATATACTGCATAAAATGTAAGTTGAAATGAAACATTATATATAACCCTTATAACTATAGAGCTGTTATAGGTATAAATAATATTGATGTATTTTTGTTATTTTTCTTTTGATCAATAATTGATACACATGAATCAATAATCAATACACATGAATCAATAACCAATACACATGAATCAATAATCAATACACATGTATCAATAATCAATACACATGAAGCAATAATCAATACACATGCATCAATAATCAATACACATGAAGCAATAATCAATACACATGAATCAATAATCGATACACATGAATCAATAATCGATACACATGTATCAATAATCAATACACATGAAGCAATAATCAATAGACATGAATCAATAATCAATACACATGAAGCAATAATTGATACACAGGAATCAATAATCGATACACATGAATCAATAATCGATATTCAGGAATCAATAATCGATACACAGGAATCAATAATCGATACATAGGAATCAATAATCGATACACAGGAATCAATAATCGATACACATTTGAAAAAATTGATAATTTTGACTAGTTGATTAAATGTCTAAAAATTATACAAAATTATCAGAAACAAATACTAGAGCAGGTGAATATTTCTAAAGCTGTGCTGTGGCAGTTAGTTAGATGACAAAAAATGGTCAGGAAAAAAAATCATGCAATGGGCATTAATATAAACCTGACAGATTATAATTGTATGAACCTAACATGTATTTTCACTGAAATCAATTAAAAAGGTATGAAAGTGGATTATAGACTAGTATAAATCATAAGAAATTATTGATATATCAGTGTTTAGTTGATGTCAGTCATCTTGTATCAATAAATCGCTGATATGCTTTGCACTGAATCAGGTAGCCAAAACTGCAACCAATGCAGACCAATATCAGGGAGCACATCCATGCCATCTGATCATGGTCTGCACTGTCCAGTTTTCAGTCAATATATGTTTTTGGTCAGTTTCTGTTTTCAAATTTTCCCTAAAAATGTTGGTTGAATGGTTTTATCAAGATTGAAAGATAGACAAGTCCATTAAGATATACATGTAATAAAATTAGCGATCTTAGTGTTAACACATTTCATGTCAATAATTTTGATATAACAAGAAATTAGTATGCTAGTATCAAAGAGGCTTTAGGTTACTTCTATAAAATTTACTATTTAAATATCTTTAATAAGTGTTATCGTTTTGTTTTTTTCAGTCACAAGACACAGTCATCGTCATGGTTACCCCCAAGAGAGAACTGGGATCCAGGCAGCATGGGGCTTCCATATGGATGGGAAGGGGCTGTTGACAAAAATAAGAAGCCATATTTTATCAAGTATGAAATGCTTATTTTTATTGTACTTTTAATACCTGAACATTCGCTTCAAATTACTTATTATATAAAACACAACTTTATTAAATTTATGTCATTGAAATTCAATTTGGCTACAACAGTCACTTATTATGTAAAACACAATTTCATTATATTCATGTCATGGAAACTTAAACCAACCCTTAGCCTGCAGACGGTGACTGAATCGACCTTTGTCCCTTGTGGCCAGTGCAGGCTTAAAGATCAACAGAGTGCCATCTGATCATGGCCTGCACTGTTTGATAACATGTTTTGAATTTTTGCCTAAAAATGATTAATGGATCCGTCCAGATTAAAAGATGGACAAGTTTATTTAAGTTATTAAGGGTTGTAAGGACTAATGAAAATTGCTTTCATACTTGCTTTAAATAAATTTCTTTTGTGCTATTTTGTTAAATTTTGTTTTTTTACAAAATTCAGTTTACTATTTATCACAATAAAATATATTATGATTGAATTAAGCAAGTTTTTTTTAAATTTTTGAATAGAATCCAGTTATTAATTCATGGAGTATGGTTTTATTTTGTTTGCACAGTAATGGTAAAAATGATATCTGTGGAGCAATATGTTATTGATGACTGACAGATTTATTATTGTTTTCCCTGGAATTGAGGGGGAAACTTGCTGTATTTGAGAAATAGCATTACTTTGCTGACAATACAGTTATCAAATCATAGAAATGTATCTGTATTACAGATTGACAGTTTTGTTATTATTCTCATATTTAGTGATTTTAGAGGAAATGCCTATAGTATTTTTAAGGCCTCTCTCACTCTATAATTTTGAAATTTAGATCCATAACAACTCATATCCTTTTTACGACTACAGCGTAATAAAACATTCCCAAGGAGGTGTTCCCTATGGCTGCCGTAGTTTCTATTTTTACGTTTCAAAGTGTGTAGCGTTCGTTTTAACCATAATTCATTGTGCATGACGTAAATTCTTGTAATCATGTGCTATAATGCACGGCTACATGTCACACACCACTTAATCATGTTTTTATTAAGCTGAAAGACCCCTTTCAAGTTCCCAGTTGAAATTATAGAAAACACTTTCAGTTGCTGTAGGGTCTCTATAAAAATGCTTGCAAAAGTGACATTTGTTCTCTGAGGATATTTGATTTTGTAATGTTAAACAATTTCAGTCATGTTGAAAATTTCACAAGCCGTGATGACCCAAGAGATGACCCTGATTATATTGAGCCACCGAAACCCCGTGAAGTAGAGCTTGTTAGGGATGCTCAGAAAGGTTTTGGGTTTGTTGCTGGCAGCGAGAAGCCAGTTGTTGTCCGTTTTGTCACCGAAGGTAAGAGTAATGGAAAAAGATCATAAAGTTGAAATTTCTAAGGTTTTAGGGCACTTTAGAATGTGTTTTATTAGATAGTTAAAATAATCAATTTTGATGCATATATTGTTGCAAACAGTAACTTTTGTAAGTGGTTATTGTAAGTGGTTACTTAAAGGGACTCCACTGAGGTCTTTTGATTTAACAAGACTGGAATTATTTTTCTAAAATTTGTGTACCATTTGATGTAAGGTTGGTCCAATAACTTGTGTGCAAATTTTCAGGTTTTTCCCTCACTCTGTTTTCCTGAATGATCATTGTAATTGTGCAAAATAACCCACTCATGAAAAGCATTGCAACACTTCACTGAAATTGGGCTAGTAATCACATGAAAAACAATTTTCAGTGTAATTCTGAGCATATATTTATAATAATAATAATAATAATAATAATAATAATAAACTAATATTTAGTTAATAAAAGTCTAACATTGATTTGTTAATAGTAAGTATATATTCTGGTTTGACATTTCAAATGTGCATATATGTGCAAAATGTTATATATGTATACCGACAATAAATAAATTTTGATTTGATTTGATTTGATTTGAGGCAGGCCTGTTGCTTTATTATCCTTTTCAAATTTTGTTTACATGTTAAGTTCTTCACTAAATCTATGTAAGAATTTCCAGTTTTTAGGCATTTTACCTCAGTAGAACTCCTTTAAGTATTTTGTTTGTCATTTAATGTCTGAGAAAGATTGTTTAGTAAATCTTCATTCCAGTTTAATTTAACACCTGAGCATATGCAGTGACAGTCACCAATATAAAGCAACAGGCCTGCCTGTACATATGAACTGTCAAACCAGAATATATACTTACTATTAACAAATCAATGTTAGACTTTTATTAACTAAATATTAGTTTTCTGTTATAACAATCCCATATATTAATGAAGAAATTGCTTTAAATTTTAAGCAAGACCATTTTATTACACATCTCCAGCTATGTAGTTAAGTAGCGATTTGTATAAAGGTAATCCATCATAAATAAAGACTATGTATGAGTCTATGTATGTGCTATACCTTTAAGGAAAGACTCTCATGTTTTGTACTCTCTTTATTATTTCAGGAGGTCCCAGTGTTGACAAGCTGTTGCCTGGAGACCAGATTATCAAAATAAATGGTCAAGATGTGAAGAAAGCTCCAAGAGAATTTGTTATAGATTTAGTCAGGTAAAATTGAGCATTTATTTTTGGGTTTCAGTTTGAGCATTGACTTCTATAATGACTGGCCTATGCTACCAATACAGGTCCACCCACTTAGCTCTGAAATGAAAAGCATTAGTTTAGTATTCCAGACGTTGCTGGTATGATCCTTGGGCAAGGCATAATTTCTCTCTGACAATTGACTTTATGGGCATTGAGTCTAAATGGTCATTTCTCTTGTACTGCTGATTCAGAAATCATGTGGCACTAGTAGTCGGTCACTTGTATAGAAATTGGTATTTCCTGGTAGGTTATCCAGGAAAAGTTGGTTAGGTTGACTAACGGCCAAGGTCTGACCAAAATTATGTTAAGGTTTTGTGTTAAAACCAGCCAAACAAACCAAACCTACAAATATAGAGTAGGGCTGGCATTAATATCTATACAGTCTAACAGGACATTTTCTTTGCATTAATACTCTTAATTAGGCTGAAAAAAAAAAAATCAGTAATCTTTAATAATATTTGATCAGGATAACTTTTCTTGTGGCATTGCAGTCTTTTGAAAACTATTAATAACAGGCTACAAACTAAGTTTGCTAAGGATAAAATGATAAACATTTTCTATAATGGATTCTCATTTGAATGAAAACTATTAATATTAAAAAAATGTTGATTAACAAAAAACCTTGAGAATTTATTTTGTTTAGCAGCCATTGATATCTTTATCACTCAAGTGTCCGATTCATACCTGAATGATGTATGGAAGGACACCCAAGTTCTTTCTCCATCAGCAAAGCTGGAAAGTTGCTATCTGACCATTACAGTTTTAAACCCAACCAAAAATATAAATATTTATCATCACAAACACAGCAGTCACTGTGCTATTGCATCATAATTGACTTTTATAATAACCTAATCTCTTTTTTGCCAGTCAATTGAGAAAGTCGGTTAATACATTTGATGCATATCTTGTAAGCAATCAAATTGAGAAATTGACAACAATATATAAAGACGAAATAATCTGTCAACTTTTGATACTGTGCATCTCTCTCAGTTTCTTCGAAATTTGTTCAGATTATGTTATAATTTTTTTTATGAATTTTGTTTGAAATATATTTTTTTATGGACAGTAAAACATTTCTAAAAAGGATGGCTCTTACCGTGCTAAATTTGTATGAAAAACTGCTTTGACCTTGAGATGTTCAATGTAAGGGACCTCAAAACAAATCAATTAAACTGTATGTTTACCTGGCTCTTTACTGATGGCTTATCCTTTTCCAGCTGTAACTGGAACAGTTTTAGTTTTTGCCAGTTTTTGTATAGATCCAGGCCAGCCTGTACATCTGTGCAGTCTGAGTAGGCTCCATACTGTTTTAGTAGCTCAGTTATTAGCTCACAAAGTGACAGGGTGAGCTTTTGTGATCGCTTTTCGTCCGGCCGTCCGTAAACTTTTACTTTAAATAACATCTCCTCATAAACGACTTAGCCAATTTCATCCAAACTTCACAGGAATGTTCCTTTGGTGGTCACCATTAAAAATTGTTCAAAGAATTTAATTCCATGCAGAACTCTGGTTGCCATGGCTACCGAAAGAAAAAACTTCAAATACATTGTATCTTCTTTTAAAAAACCCAAAGAGCTAGAGCTTAGATATTTGGCATGAAACATCTTCTAGTGTCAGTGTCTACCAAGTTTATTCAAATAAAAGCCCTGGGGTCAAAATTGGCCCCGCCCCAGGGGGTCATTGATTTTCCCTATATGCATATGGTAAAAACTTTAAAAATCTTCTTTTAAAGAACCCAAAAGAGCTAGAGCTAAGATATTTAGCATGAAACATGTTGTTATGGGTGTCTACAAAGTTTGTTCAAATATAAGCCCTGGGGTCAAAATTGACCCCGCTCCGGGGGTCATTGATTTTCCTTATGTGTGTATAGGAAAAACTTAAAAAATCTTCTTTGAAAAAACCCAAATAGCTAGAGTTTAGATATTAAGCATGAAACATTTTCTAGTGAGTGTCTACAAAGTTTGTTCAAATAAAAGCCATTGGGTCAAAATTGGCCCCGCCCCGGGGTCATTGATTTTGCTTATATGTGTATAACAAAAACTTGAAAAAACCCAAATAGCTAGAGTTTATATATTAAGCATGAAACATCTTCTAGTAAGTTTCTACAAAGTTTGTTCAAATAAAAGCCCTAGGGTCAAAACTGGCCCGGCCCCAGAGGTGTCATTGTTTTTAACTATATGTGTATAGTAAAAACTTGAAAAATCTTCTTTTAATAAACATAATGAGTTAGAGGTTAGATGTTTAGCATGAAACATCTTCTTGTGGGTGTCTACCATGTTTGTTCAAATTAAAGCCCTGGGGTTAAAATGTTAAAATTGGCCCTCATGGGGGGGGGGGGGAAGCAGAGGTCATTGCTTTTCATTATATGTGTGTAGTAAAAACTTAACATCATGAAACATTTTCTTATTGGTGTCTTCCAAGTTTGTTCAAGTAAAAGCCCTGGGGTTTAAACTGGCCCGGCTCCGGGGGCCTATACACAGGTGAGCGACCTCAGGGCCATCATGGCCCTCTTGTTGTATTTTGTTACTGAAAACCCTTTATATTTGAATGGACTGTTATAAGTTCAAAGCAGGACAAATCCATTTCACAAATTCAGTAGGTGAAAGGTTAAGGAAAGTCATTATAAACAATAGGATTCAAAGAGTTAAAGGTGGGATAAATGGAGAAAATCATTTTCTATGAATAATAAAGCCTTTACAGTGGTTAGTGGAAGCAATATTCGCTGTTTGCACTTTCTTATGTTCTTTAGTCTGCAGCAATCATGAATATTCGATAAAGATGCAAGCTTTTAGCTGATAAACTGGTCATATTATTTTGGATCGATCTTTTAGAGAATGTTTCTTATATATTCTGCTAGACTTGCAACATATAAACTTTTCATAAATGTTTTAATAAAAGTACAAGGGAAAGAAAATATTGTTTATATTTACAAAATGTGCCTTTACTTTATTTGGAAAAAAATAATGAGGTTACCCATTTGTTCTTTTGAAATTTTATGGAGGCAGTATTTTAAAGAGCCTGAAAATTAATTGAAAAATTAAATATAAATCTTGCAATATGTGGATTATTATTTCTCTTTTTCTCTATTTTAGGTCATGTAAGCAGTCAATAACTCTATCAGTGTGTCAACCATACAATGATAATGTAAGTATATATATATATACATATAGATTATAGTTTTAATTTCTGCTTCATTTAAAGTTAGTGATTTGTAAAGACAGTTGTATTGTCGGATACCCACGGCGAACCATTAATATTTATCAGCCGTCCAATTTTTTGCAGATATCCAGTTATTTGAAGTGTGTCAAAGACAGCAAATTCATTGGTTGCCTCACGATTTTATGAGGCGATTAACACCAATCAAAATGCTCCTTCTATAAGATGTTTGGTGTTACAGAGAAAATTGCGGCAACCAATCAATTTCAGCTGTGAAAAGTTAAATATTAAGAATGTTACTGATTTCCAGCAAAAAAAGCATAGAAAATTTACTGTTGCAGATAGTTTTACCTTTGCCGTTGAAGGATATAAATCTTGTTCAGTGCAATTTCATTGGTTGATATTTTACGTACCTGTTGCTGTATATCGAAGTAAATTGATTCATTTAACCCACAGCTTAATTAGAAGTTAATTAACCGCGGGTATCTGACGATGAGACAGTTGTAGCTTTGATCCGTTATGGTGCCACTGTTTGTAGTTTTGAATCTTTGCTAAGTTATTCAAGTAGACTCTTAATTTCAGGATTTGCCAGTGTTGTTTTTAATAGTTATAGGGGACTGTTTTCTTAGTTATTTCTTTTTTCCTATTTTATAAAGATTTGTAATGTCCTATTATTTGATCCTTCCAAAGCTATAAGCTTAGAAATTATAATATGGGATATAGTTATATGGGATATTATTATATGGGAAATTGTCAATGAAGAATTGCAGCATATATTGCTTCAACCTGTTTTCTTATCATTTTAATAGCAGTTTGAGCTTCATATTTGTAATAGTCTTTAATTATTTAAGAAGAAATTGAGCTTTTATGATAGCTGTATTGTCATTGTCATTGTCTAAGTTGTCGTCGTGCAAAGACTAAAAAATTTAATGAAGCCCTTTATTCAAACATTTTAAAAGGTATCAACGCGAAACTTGGAATACTTGCTTATCATGACAAGGTACAGTTGTTAAACACAAGGCATAATTCTTAAAGCTATATTTTTTGAGTTAAGCCCCTTTTTAACTTTTTGTCAAAATGATTATTGACCTTAAAAGATAAGCATATACCATTTAAGGTGCTCTTGTTTTATCTTATGGTCAATTATTACTACATTAATGTATTTTGAATATGTAAAAAAACGTATTTGAATAAATATGGGTACACATGATTTTTTTATAAGCATATTTATTTAAGTTAAGAGGGGAAAAGTTTATACTTACATAATTAGGAGAAGTTTAATGGAAGGCATTTGTGGAAAGCAGTAGGAATTAAAGACAACTATCAAGTAGTCTTTTAAAGTGTGCAAATGTCATAATGCATTGATAACCTAAAGCCAGTCACAGAAAATTGCTGCAGTTGCTTATTTCATGCATACATTAATGTTTTCTTGTCATATGTAATGTAAAAATGTCTGTCTGGCAAAATATATCTAAATTTATTTTGATGTTGTTTTGCCATTTCGTTAGCATAAATAAACAAGGTCCCTTGCACTAAGAGTTATAAGTAGAAGTGACCTTAAGACATGCTGAAATTTTAATTTAGTTCAGTTAACATTAACTATGATATCTTTGTGTGGGGTCTCGTGTTACTGCTCCAAGACCCTCAGAACTGTTTTCAAATTTTATGATTGAAGACATAGCTTGTAATAGGAGGTCAGTATCCAAGACCCATAACTCTAACATGAATTTTGACAGAATTATACCCATTTTAGAAAACTTAGAAAATTGTGCATTATCAAGGCTCTTGTTTTACTATCAAGCACTGAGAATATGGTAGTAGAGCTTGGATACTTACTGACAGCTCTTGTGATTTTCAATTAACTTTTTAAAACAAACATTTATAATCAAACTGTCATTGTACATGTATCATTGTATGTATAGGATGATGTACACATAAATATTTTTCTTTAGGTAATTCCTGATAAATCACTCCTGTCAATAATTTATTGTTTTACCTAAATCTTGTACTTAATTGTTCATATGATCAATTTTTTATGTACAAAAGTATTTTATGAATGTAAGTCTTAATGTAATCTCCTTGTCTGTTTATATTAGTATATGTCTCTAATGTTACCATGGACTTTTGACCTTCAATAACTGTTCCATAATTTTTTATGTTCCTGACTTTACTTCACTGACATTATGCATGGCAGGCTATCTGATTTGGTTGGATGTGATGAAAAATATAATATGTCATGGTGGTTGTAGGTGAATATAAAAGAAAAACCTGCTTCACATCATGTAATTTTTGTGTCAAATATCCAAAATTTTGCATAAAAGATTCTTCTAATGATTTGTAATCCCAGACAGAATTTATGAATATTTTGCATTACACTTGTCTGAGTATTGTCCGTATTCAGATCCTTATAGGTGTAATAATAGAGTTTTTTTAATTTCTGTCCCCAGATGACCTGACTATGTAGGAAACAATCATTTGAATTTTTAGCAGTGTATAATTTATTAAGTATGTTTGACTATGTAGGAAACAATTATTTGAATTTTTAGCACAGTATAATTATTATGTTTTATTCTATTCCTTTCATGCTGAATGTCATCATAGTATAATTAAACCTATAGGACTAGAATCTTATTTGAAAAACTTAATGTTTCCTAGCTGCAGATATCACCAAAAAAGCAATTAAGTGATTTATCACACACCCGTGCTGATTTTGCGACTCGGTAATGTGGTATTGCACGGCCGTGCACATATTTTGACGTGACGTCATTAGCGTTATACAAACATATCATATAGAATCGCTAAATGTTAACGTTATACTATAGCATGTCATTGAAAAATGACTCTTAAAAACAACGGTCTTTAATTTAGGTAATTGTGATGAACAGAATATTAAATTGGTGTAAGTTCATTACTGAATTTATTGAACTTGATGAATAAGATATTATTATGCTCGCCAGGGGCTAGCATAATATAATTTTATTCAACTTGTGCAATAAATTCAGTATTGAATTTGCACTCATTTAATATCTTCTATGTAACAAAATTAAACACCACTTTGAAATATGAGCAGGTAGTTTAATAGAAATATCTTATTAATAAATACTATTACATATTTCATCTACAGTTTCATTTGGTAAGCAAGAGTGACGTGACTGTATGCGTGTGTGTTGCTTAAGTGTTATTAATTATGTTACATTATTGCCATGTTGATTTTCTTTTCTCTCTCTAATTCTAGACGATTGTGGAATATTTATTATATTTTCTAATACCAAAATAATTGTCAGAAGATTGCCTAACACCTGCTGCTGTAGATTATTGTTGTTTTGTAATATGTGAAGATTTTTTTTAATGTCTGTGAAATTTTTGTATATTGTCTGTGTTTTATAATTAACATAGGTATTTTACAAGTGAACATAATAATGTTTTGTTGAAAAATTGTATTGTCCTTTAATTCACTGCACATTAGATAGAATAAGGAAGATTTATAATGTATAAATCACATGAACAATTGGCACACCGCAGAATATGATATAGTATTTGAGTTATTGGAGTTATTGCCCCTGACAGAGTGAAATATTTTATATTTTTGACATTTATACATTAAAACATTTTACCACCCTGTAGTGTATATAAATGCCCTTGACAAAATGAAATTGATGCATTGTAGTTTAACAGAGTAATTGCCCCTGGCAGAAAGAAACTTATGTATTTTAGTACTGTGGAGTTATTGGCCCTAAGTGAAATTTAAACATTATAAGGTTTTGAAGTTATCATCCCTGTTTGTGCAATGCACATAGTGCTCCTGACAAAGTGAATTTTATACTTCAAGGCTTAGCCTGTTATTAACATTCAACTAGCAAAAAGCCAACAACAAAAATCAAAAACAAAAACAACAAAAAACCATTCAACTAGCTGTGACTTCAGTGTTTCTATATTTAGATTCAAGATTTTCATTGCCATTTGCCTGATTCTTGGTTAAAAGTATTGTTTTATCAGAATGATTACATGGTATTAATTTATTCTTAAATAAAGCGAGAAATCATATAAAAGCTTGTGATTAATCAGTTGCAAGGTTTTAAAAATCCATAACATTGTTCATGAAGCCACATGACTTGTTTGATTGGAAGAAATTATTAATTTTCCTTCTCCCCTTCAACCACAAACCCCAAACATCCCATAATGATGGATTTCCAAATAATTGACGATATTTATTTAAAAAAATAAGAGAAAAATAAACAACACTGTTGTTACTGTTCATTGTTATAATTATAGTGTTTTTGTATGAATAAAGAATGTAGGTTGGCTGGAAATGTTACGTGACATAATGGCAGATACAGATGAGGTAGGGGAGACAAATCTGGTATAGAGTTGTTGCCCTTGATTCTCACAACCTCGCATTGTACATAAAAAAAATATGTTAGACAGACAACATTAAAATAATTTTTTATGTTAATTATTTTTGTTTAATTGAAAAAAAAAATCATGACAACTAGATTTTAACATCGCATGTTGCATATAAGCGTGTAAATAGTAAGATATGTACATGTATTGTAAAATATACTGTATATATTTGCCATATATATCTTGCATTGCTTTTGATATGTTATTGAATTATAATAATGTAAGAAAAAAGTCTGTATGGGAAGTATCTAATTATATATACATGTAATTTCATAATTTTGAGTAGTGTTATATAAATATAACATAACTATAGCAAACTTTTCAATATTTGGCGATTTTTTATACGGATAATTCATAATGAGGTTTTGAGTATCAAAGGGCTTCGGTGACTTGTTATTTTGTACTCTATATTATTTTTTTTACTGCAAATTTATTTTTGCACAGGGAAGAATAAAGCATGATATTAATGAAAGGCATGTTTAAATTAATACTTGTTTTCAGCAAATGGATATTAAACAAAAAAAACTGGATGATTACATTGTAACAGATGACTTAGTTCAGGTTTTTAGATGATGCATGACATAATTTGTTATTAATTTTATCTGAATTTTATTTTTATCTATATATTTTTGTACTTTATGGGTTTTGTTATTGTCTATTAATAAAAACTGCAGGGTATGAATTTTAGAGTAATGACCATTGATTATGTAGTATTAACTTTTAAATGTAGTTGATTGTATTTTAAATAACATTTATTCTAATATGCTCCACACTATTCCCCAATCAGACACTGATAGGGCAGTCAAATGCGTTATTACACAAAATATGCACAGCATAAAAAACGAATGCTTACGCGTCATATGACATCAGATACGACATCAATAAACCAAATGATGTCAGAAAATTACTTCTGGTAAATCTTCGCTAAATGTAGTTCAACATATTTTTATCAATTCTCTTTTTTATTAGCATGTTAGAATGAAAATGTAGGTATCAATTTTGAGTGCATTGTTGCAAAATAATGCACAACTTATCGTTCAAATGCTTTGTAATTAAGCACGAAGGCCGATATTCTTACGCATTTGAACTCAAACCATTCATTATTCTACAACAATACACTCAAAACTGATATCTATTTCCTAATTAAAGTTTAACCCTTAGCTGGTGGCATCAAATTCTACCAATACTTAGTGATCAATGCAGACTAAGATCTTAATGCAGACTAAGATTATTGTCTGCAACACTGTTCTGTTACTACATAGTTTTAACTTTCTGTAAAACTGATGAATGGTTTTGTCCAGATTTAAGTTTAGATATTTAGAGTGACATGGGTTCGATTTCAAAATATTTCTTCATATTTTACAATTAACTTCCATAAATGGAACGCTTTTTGCCAGATAATAATTTTGTATGAAATCAATTTTCTTGGGACATATATCAAATCTCCAAGATGAATTGTTCTTGTGTTTTGCTATTTTTCTACAATTAAATCTGCAAAATTAATTTTTTTGTTACATATTTTATTTGTGATGCAAGCATGTGAACAAAGTTACAACAACACATGATTGTTTTTACAACACAAAGGATTCAAGCTCGTCTGAGTTACACAAACATTTTTTTTTTCTGTTTAATTAAAAGAATGTTTCTCTTCTGGTTGAAAACTTAAAAGATTTGTAGAAATTCAATTATTTTTGTTATTGTTTTTATCTCTCAAACTATTTGTTTTCTAATATGTTTATCAAATGTCAAAGAGATTTGTTACACCATTTTATTTGAGAAACTTTTTGAATTTATATAAAACGTAAACAAACTTATTTTCCTATATAACTTTTCAAAGACTCCCATGAATTGAGATTTGTTTGCTTAATCCATCTGTAGCATTTCTTTTTTTCAGCTGTTTTCCATGATAATCGTTTTATAAAAGAAAAAAGTACAGTGCTTCACAATGATTAATTGTTCATAATATTTTTCACAGCCTTCAGTTTACGGCCTTCGTGATTATCTCCATACTGTGCTATATAATAACACAGACCACTCAAAATTAAAATCATTTCCTAAATATTAATTTATTTGAATGAAGAGGTCCAAAAGCTATATAATCTTTTACTTGCAGTCATCTAGAAAATCTGCGTTACTGACCGCTGCAAAGAAGGATAGGTTGAAGAAGAATCCGTCTAGAGTGAGGTTTGCTGAGGAAATTATAGTCAACGGTGCTTCTGTACCATCTGTGAGTTTATCTTAAGATCACTGTAACTTTGTATATTATAGATAAAGAGCTCTTGTATGAATTTTAAAATAATTAAATATATGGATTGAAAAGAGGTTAAAAATATTCTGTGCAAAGGGACTACTTGCAGATCTGAACTTCAAACACATGACTGAGAGCTCGGGAGTCATGTGGCACCCCTCAGTCTGGTATGCAAGAAAACATGTACTTGCTAGTCAATACCCCTGAGTCGAACACGCAAGTAACTTGCTTATATAATGCTTGGTTATAATTTTTCAAACATGCTTACATCAAATGAATCTAAATAGTCACTGAATAAATTTCAGAATTCCCCAGAGGAGAGTTATGTCCCTTTTATGCCAAATGTGCTCAAAGTGTTCTTAGAAAATGGCCAAACCAAGTCTTTCAAATATGACAACAAAACAACAGTCAAGGTAAGACATAGACATAAAAGTTGAGGTAATTTCTATTGATTGTACTGTTTAATTTTATTTTGAAAGTGATATTCTCTTCTTACCTCGGGACGTCTGTGGCCGAGTGTTAAAGTCGTTATTTGAACAGGGAGTTCGGGTTGTTTCATGCGAGGAAGCTATCCAGCTAGCGTAGGGAACGTCAGTGGTTCTACTCAGGTGCAGGTTTGTGTCTGAAATAATGCACGAAAAGGCACCTGAGGTCTTCCTCCACCAGAAAAGCTGGAACATCGCCATATGAACTATACTGTGTCGGTTGTAAAACCAAATCAAACAAATCTTTTTATCTCTGTCTCTTTTTTCCTTATTGTTCTTTTCCAATACTACAGTTTAAGATGCTGGTTGCTGTAAGGTTAAGAGAATCTTATAAAATATTGATATAGATTTCTTTCTGCCTTACTATTTTGTGATAATTTGTTTATAGTGGAAGCTAGCATTGGCATGGTATGTCAGAAATATCCGCCCAATCAGGAAATGTTGTTGGAAAATCTCAAACATCTGTCTCAAAACATGACAAAAAAATCTTACTCGTTAGCTCTTACTGATACATTCAGAAAAAAAACAATCTAAAAAATATGTCCTTTATTTTCTCACGTTACAGGATGTAGTGAATTCGTTACAAGAGAAACTGAATATTAAATGTATACAGCATTTTAATCTCGTGCTTCACAACATGAAATCTCATATGCCAGGCCGAATGACCTTGCTTCAAGATCATGAAACAGTCTCAGAGGTAACATACATGTACTTATAAAAATTTTGTATATATCTTGCTAAACTTCTTGACTGTCCCTATATTAGAATAAATGAAAAAAAAACTATAAAAAAACTAACTTGGTAAAGTTGCTAAAATGGAACATGTTATTTTGTCAGTTTTATCACAGTAAGGATCACTTGTGTAATGATTATAGTCATGAGTTTGGGAATTTTGGCATTAACAAACCAAACTATGATTTCAAATTGTAACATTTATTTCTGTTCAAGAAAAAAGGTGTTAATACATTAAAGGAACTCCACTGAGGTTCAAAAGCATAAAATTTGAATTTACAAAGAACATCTGGGGCATTTTAAATAGAAAGATATGCAAAAGGTAATTAAGAAATATACTCAAAATAAAATTGGGCATCATACTTTTGTGCTTTTCTTATCCTGATTTGTGTGAAAAGCATTGCCATTTTTCACCATTAGAATAATTGTTGTAGTGAAATGGAGTGAGTAAATGATAAAAAACTTTGCTCACAACTTATTTGTCTAGGACTACATCAAATGGAACATTAATGTCAGAAAATTATTTCCAGTTCTGTCATGTCAAAAAACCTCAGTTGGGTCCCTTTAATTAGTATAGCAATAATGTTAATAAATACATGAACTGACCTGGTGCTTCTGATTTGTTGTTCCCTTCTCAAAACATTTTACTTATAAAATAATTCTGATTTAGAATTTAAAGTTTGTACTTTAATGGAAATACATTGCTATTTAAAAAAAAAAATATATCAGAAAATAAGATTTTAGGGTACCAGGATCTTGTTCATTAATCTAATTGATTAAAAGCAGTCTGATGTTTCTGTGAGAAAATCCATTCAAGACTGAGGAAAAGATAGGAAAGATAGCTCTACTTTTGTTTTAGATTACCAAGGACAAATTATTATCATGGAGGAAGAAAATCTGTTTTCAATCGGTCTTAATTACAAGGAATTTTCTGCTGTCTTTATTTATGAACAAAAACTTAAAATAGGATAAAGTCGAAATGAATTAATTGTATTGCATTTCGTGGGAAAACTTGATTTGTTGTATAAAATTGAATTTGATGGCACTGGAAAATTTTGCATTAATGAATAGAGTGATTCACATGGCTGATTGTACTGGAGATTAAATATAAAAATATATATTTATTACAGATTGCAAGTCGTCCTGGGTCGAGACATTTCCGCTGTTTGTTTCGAGTTGCTTACGTACCGAAAGATTCTTACGATCTTCTGAAGCAAGATCCGATAGCATTTGAATACTTCTATATGCAAGTAAGAACTCTGTCTTCTAGTGGAATTACATTCCTTTCACAAACTGTCTAGGGAAATTTAGACATAACGGAAAAACATACAAATTTTGCATGTAGTTAACATATGCAATATCTCCTCTATGTATTTCACAACCAAGCTAACAACCTTCAAGGTCAAAAGGTTTGAATTTTGCTTGATTTTTGCTATAATTGGCTGTAACTTTGTTATTAATTTTTGGACTGTTTTCAAACTTGGACACAACATTATTTGATTATGACCTTCACTCATTAAATACTTTGACCTTGAAAGTCAAATTTATGCAGTTTGCTGAGTTTTGGTAAAATTGGGCTATAACTTTTTTATTTATGAATGATATATCTTCATACTTGAGCACTACTACCTCAATTTTGTACTGACCTTTACCTTTAAGGTCAAGTTATTGAAATTGTTATAAATTTTTAAATTGTCATAACTTTCAGTGGTAGTCTTTGGTGGGGTATAAATTTGTCAGATTTGATTGTTTTGGATGTGGCCATTCTTCCTCGACAACATATTGATATGAGAGTTTGCAGTTACTTGCAGAAAATCCTTAAATAAACTAATGGCTTTTAAAAACACTGGAGTTTGATAGTAAAAAAAACTGTTACTTAACCAAAAATAAACTAATAAAAATGAAATAATTTTGTTTTTTCTTCTTATTATAAATTTCAGTGTGTAAATGATGTGCTACAGGACAGGTTTGCATCAGAATTGAAAACTGACATATTACTACGCCTTGCAGCGTTACATATTCAACAACATGCAATGAGTAACAATATGACTGGAAAAATCAACATAAAAACTGTAGAGTGAGTATATTGTAGTTTTTTATAACTTCTTGAGCTGATGCTATATAGTGTGGACAGTGACCATTGCTATTTTTATGCTCCCTTAAAGGTAGGGATATAGTAACTGCCATGTGCTTCTTTCAGTTCATCTGTCTATCAAATTTTTTTCTGGACAGAGAATAACATGAAAGCAGGGGCAGCATAATCAATTGTCTGTGTTGACCAGGTTGTCCCACAGCTTGTACAGACAAGTGAAAATTTTACAGAATTCACTTTATAAATAAATTAAAAACGGACAAAATCAGATTTTGCCATGCCTGAGTGAAAGTAATTAATGTAATTGCTTTGAAGTACATCAAAATACATTGACAAATGTGTAAGTTTGTGGAGCATCCATCGCCTTAAGGGATTTTCTTGTTAAGTAAGTGTAAGTAAGTGTGAATTAAACTGAACGTTAAACATTGGTTATTTACAGTGTTTTTGGACTTACAATGCTTCCTGTATCACCATTTGTAAGAAGTTGCTGTAAAATTTACAATGGTTCCTGTACTAGTCATGTACAACATCTTTGCTCTGGAGTGGGTTATTCATGTATTTTAAAAATAGAGAATGTTGAGAGTGAAAAGTCTTCTTGATTTCTTTCATGCGAAGAAGCTACCCAGCTCGCTTACGAAACGTTTGTGGTTCTACTCAGGTGCCCATCTATGCCTGAAATAATGCACAGAAGGGCACCTCAGCATTAGGTCTTCTTCCACTAGTAAAGCTGGAAAATCACCATATAACTTGTACTCTGTAGGTGTGACGTAAAACTCACAAAAAAAAAAAAAAAAAAAATGACTATTTAAACTGATGTTAAGAAAACTTCTCTGAATGCACATCAACATTTGTCCATTCATTCTTAATCTATGAGCAAATTGGAAAGGAAATAGAGTTATGTTTTAGCACATAAAAGCCACATTTTCACTTGATACTGCACAATTTGTCATTTAGTTGCTTTGTAATTAATTATTCACAAATTAATTCACATTAGTTCATGATGTTGTAAGACAGTGCATTTAAAGCCAATGTTAACATGTAACATGTTTTCATGGATTTCTGTATCCAATACCGTAGAATCAGAAATTTTTATCATTTCTTTTATTTTTTTGGTGTTTTCTTAAAGAACGCCACTTCTCTTTTGGGGAAAATGAAAATTAATTTTTTGTTATTTCAGGAAAGAGTTTGGATTTGAGAAATTCGTATCACAGAGTATACGAGAGAACATGAAGGTGAAAGATTTGAGAAAGATTCTCGCCCAGTGCATGAAAATGAATCAGAATTTGACGGCACCTGGCCAGAAACAGCTGACTGCTCTACAGGCCAAACTGCACTACATGAAGATTGTTAGTGAGCTGAAGACATTTGGTAGCCGAGTCTTCATGGTTACGTTGTTGGTATGTTGTTTTATAGTAAAAGTGGTTAAATTGTTACTTTTATTTGTTAGTGATTTTCTTGGTTGTCATGATAACGATGTTTTCACATTGAAATGATTCATTTCATGCGCATAGGTGTTGCCTAATAGTCGCTATACTGCTCAATTCTTAATAGTATTTTACATATGAAATCAACAAGCTGTTTCATAATTCAAATTTGGTGCATCTTTAGCCAAGTGGTTAAGGTCGTTGACTTCACAGGGCCTTTAGATTCTTTCTAGCTTGCTTATAGAACATCAGTGGTTCTACTCAGGTGCCCTTTCATGTCTGAAATAATGCATGGAAGGACACCTAAGTCTTAGGTTCTCCTCCACCAGTTAACTTTAAAAATCTCCATATGACCAATACTGTGTTGGTGCGAAATAAAACCCGACCAAAAAAAACCCTTAAAAAACAAACAAAACATTCAAATTTGGAATTGTCCATTACACAGAATCACAATATGTTTAGTTGCTGAGAACAAACATTTTGTTCGCTGAAAACAAACAAACATCCTGTTCGCTGAGAACAAACATTCTGTTCACTGAGAACAAACAAACATCCTGTTCGCTGAGAACAAACATTCTGTTCGCTGAGAACAAACATTCTGTTCACTGAGAACAAACATTCTGTTCACTGAGAACAAACATTCTGTTCACTGAGAACAAACATTCTGTTCACTGAGAACAAACAAACATCCTGTTCACTGAGAACAAACATTCTGTTTTCCATAATTGTGTAATATTTTAATCTGTTTATATCTGTTTTTACCAAAATGTTAATAAAAATAAAATTTCATACAGGTAATTCTTAAATGCTTATTGGTGTTGTATTATTTGGTAATAAACATTCAATTTGATGTTTTTTTAGGACAAAAAAACCAAAGCAATATTTAATTTTAGTATTTGGTGATAAATATTCAGTTTGATGTTTTTTTATAGGACAAGAAAACGGAAGCAATGGTACTGGTTGGTCCTAAGTCAGGTGTGAGTCTAGTCACGAATGTCAGGTTTTATACGGTAAGTTGCTGGCTTATAGATTGTAATATGTTTGAGTTTACATGTTGTATTGTGTATACATATTATTTATTTTTGTGAACCCCTATAATCTGATAGAATATGTTACAAATATTAGTGTTTACATGTTGTACTGTATGAAATTTTACATTGTAATTTCTGGTGTTTTTTTTTTCATTACTCTACATAACTTTGTAAAAAAACTGAAAATTTTGTTTAAAAAAACACATATTGGAAAAAGAAGTTCAATTTATGGTTTGAAAAGAAAAATGACTAACTTAACTCAGACTTTTTTTGGCAATTTAAATTCAGCTCAGATATTTGTGTATTACTAGTATGTTAACAAACTTCTAATAGAATAAGTTGATTTATTACTGATACAAGAAATTTACAAAGAGCAGTTTTATTATGTTACACGATGAACATATAGTTAGTTCTACAAGGAGCATCTATTGTATGAACAGTTTTTATGGCTTGCCTAAGAGCACAAGAGAGAATGAAACATATACATCATTGTCAAAAGCTATACTTTAACCAATTTGTATTTTGCTTTTTGTAAAAGGATAGGGAAAAGAAAACTGATTTATTATAAAGCTAGTGTCATTTTGAGACAAGATAAAAAGATTGATTGATATAAAGATGGATTAGACAAAGCTTTAGATTATCATAGTTTGTAAAGATCATATAAACAGAGAAGAATATAAGAGTTTCAGTGTTTGACCATGATTATGATAAAACCTGTTATTCTGGCCATTTATGTTAAGCTGTTATAGGCTCTTTACTGCTGGTCACTAGGTAGAAGAGTCAACTTTTGTATAGTTATTATATTGAAATCCCTAAAAAATTGAATAAACTGTTCCAAATTTTAAGGTGGGCAAACCATTACAAAAATTCCAGCAGGTTGTCTTGTAAGTGCCACCTTTAATTTTTTTTTTTCATTTATTGCATTTTTGAATGTTTTGTAATATTAAGGGTACAGAGTCAGTGTCTGAGGTAAGAGTCAGTACAACAAGGGGTCTTATACAAAACTGAAGCTTATAGATGAATTGTTGAAACAATAGAAAGAGAAAAAAATTAAGTTTTGAAAAACAATCCAACTACAGAGTTGTTTTAAACTCTTTTAAAATTGACATTGTTCTGTATGTATGGGAATTCATTTATAGTGTCAAATGTTAATGATTGTAAATCATTCATGAATTTCTTTGATACTCAACCATATGATATTCAGACATTAAGGAGTGTCAAACCAGTCATTCTTTGATTCTTTAAAGATTTTTAAAATTTCTACTTTATTTCTAGTTTCATAATCAAATGTTAAATGAAGTTCAAGCAGTTTTGTATAGAAACCCTTGATATTTTATTTTAGCGTGCTAATTAGTTGATACGAACTTCAATTTTTAGATGTGTTTTATTGTTTTTTTTTTATTTGCTTATTTGATTGATTGATTGATTGATTGATTATTTAACATATTGATTTTTAATTAGAATATTTTAGTGCCAGGAATTTTTCTAAAAGATTTTGATTGATTGATTAATTATTTTACTTAATGATTTTAATAAGAATATGTTTATAATTATATATATAGTGCCAGGACTTTTTCTTGAAGAGCTATATGATTTTTGTTTAAATTTGTAGCAGCTATTTTATAGTATGAAGTATTTTATCATTTTTAGTGGTATACGCATATAGTTATATACATGTAGTTCTCCGCGTTACATCGTATAGACGGAGAACTGTTGTCTCAACAGGTGCGATATCAAAACTGGTATAACCAGTTTGGTCACGTGATAAGAGTTATTGACCGTGCGTACGTACGATTAGTGGTCAGTTCTACAGAGACTCTCGCTTGGTACACGTCGTTAACTACATAGGGGAGTTTTTATCATGGATCGAGATACTCACGACATTATCAAGGACGTTGTAAAGGACACCGTGGAGGAAAGCAGACAGTCTTTACTTCAAGAAATTGGGACGATGTTCGAAAAGATAAGTGAACAAAATAATTCTTCTCAATTTGCTAGAATAAGCAATTTAGTGGCATCATCTCAGCCAAAATTTAAAAGGAAAAGCAACGAAGAACAGTTTTGTCATAATAGTAAAGTTATGTTGAAGCTTAATGAAGCCGAGTCTAAGTTAGATAGCAGTAAAATTGAGGAGGCCAAAAGCAGTATTACAACAGGTTTGTGTTTAAAAAAAAAAACAAAAACTTAATGAATTCTACTCTATTCCATTTATAAGAAGCATTTTCAATTTGCAAAAGCTTTGTTTTTATTCAGCAGTTTTAAATTCGGGATACAATTAATAAATTCGCTATTTTCTAATAGTTTTTACGTGTTTAATGTGTAGACCACGTGGTCTCGATACACGTGTCTTTTGTTATACTAGAGGTGAATTGTTCTGTATGAAGATTGTTGGGATATGTTTATTTCTAAAGGAATAATAATGCTAATAATAAGAATGATAATAAATATAATAATTATATGTCTATTATATTTTTAAAAAAAATCTTTGTTTCTTCTGTTTTCAAATTTATTTAGATTAATTTCTTTTTGGACATAAGTACATAAGGACGTAAAAAAAAGATAAAGATTTTATAAGCTGATGTGATCAATATAGATGTTTTTTGCATGGTTAGCAATGACTAATGTGGACTCGCCTTTTCTTTAACATGTATAAATAGGGGATTCATGTTTTATAGTATTACTGATATAGTTGCATTATAAACTTGCATACGCATGTCACAGATTTAAAACCCGTTGCGTTGGTAATGCGCAGGCCGATATGAAAAAGTTAGAGTAGTATCATTTATAAATAAATTTAGTGATACTATAAATGGCGGTAGCACGGGTTTTGCATGTTTACTGATTGAGATATTTTTAAAGTATAGCAAACACAGGAAAACTACGAATAACGGTGATATATTAGTATTTGTTAGATAAGGCTGCTTTTATTTTAAAAGTTTGTAAAAAAATTATGTATTATATCAATGTGATTTTCAGTTACAAGGATTATATCACAGGAGTTGATTATATTGACTCATAAAGATTATATTATTTATAGAAATTATGTTAAACATTTTTAGTAATAGGCATATTTTTCTTTCAGCCTTGGATATTTTGTCACACCGACAAAAGATGATACAGTTGGCGGATGCTAGTGAATTGGGGTGGAGAGTAGTTCATGAGTATGAACAAAATCCTCTAGCAGACGACAGCGATGATGAAAAGAAAATGTATAAAGCTGAAGTCAGGGCTGACAGGAAGTTCAAAGCTGAGAAAAATAAGAAGTCTAAAAAGTTTAGAACCAAGCCTTACACCAGGAGTGTACCTGCACGAGCTACAAGTCAATCCACTTCGCAGCAATTTGGTGTACAGAAACCAGGCTTATGTTTTTACTGTGGAAAGCCGGGTCACTGGAGAAAAGAATGTCCAGCAAATACTACAAATTTGAATAATAAGATGAGTACATTTTGTTTATTTAATAAACATTGCGATATGCTAGACAGTGATTCATTGAATCACAATTACAGGGAACAAATAAATAATGAGGCAATTAGTTGCGATTCGAACCAAAATGATTCAGAAAATGAAATCGTTGTATTTCCTAAAAAATGTTTAAGTCTTAATGTTTCTTCTGTGAATCACGGATATTGTTCTCAGCTGAACAGTGAATGCTCAGTATCAGTAGCAGAGCATTTTGAGTCTAAAAAAGAAAAACTTAAATGTGTAATATCGCCAGTAGGAAGATTGAAGGCTCATGCTAGCAAATGGCGATCTATCAATGGCGATTCTTTCATTGTAGACGTTATAGAAAATGGTTACAAATTGCCATTTAGAAATATTCCTAGTAAAGTAATGCTTAAAAATAATAAGTCCGCTAGAGACAATCCGTCTTTTGTTACGACGGAAATAGAGTGTTTACTAGAAAAACATGTTATTTCGGTAGTAGATCACGTGCCGGAAGTTGTAAATCCGTTGACTGTGGCTTATAATAAGGCCGGAAAAGCAAGGTTGGTTTTAGATTGTAGGCATGTAAATCAGTTTTTGCATCTATTCAAAATCAAGTTTGAAGATGTTCGTGTCGCTCAGTCTCTATTTAGTGCTGGGGTTTTTGCTTTTACTTTTGATTTGAAAGGAGCTTATCATCACATCGATATTTTTCAAGCTCATAGGAAATATTTAGGTTTTTCATGGATCTATAATGGTCAACAGACTTATTTTGTGTTTAATTCACTTCCATTTGGAATAGCTAGCGCAGGGCATATTTTTTCTAAAACTGTCCGAGTATTGGTCATGTACTTAAGGTCATTAGGTCATAAGGTGATAATGTATCTTGACGATGGCATCGGTGGTCATATTAATTTCCGAGAAGCATTAGAAAGTAGTGCATTTGTAAAAAGTACATTGATTGAATTTGGTTTTTTGTTGGCGGAAGAAAAGTGTCATTGGTTTCCCTGTCAAAAAGTAACATGGTTAGGTTTTATATTAGATTTTTTTCAGAATAAGATATTTGTTACAGAAGAACGAATTTCTGTCATAGAAAAATCAATCGAGTCTGTACTATATCAGATAAGTTGTGACAAGTGTAGTGTTCTACCAGTCCGTGTGTTAGCGTCTTTGGTTGGACGTCTGATTTCTCTTCAATTTGTCTTTGGTAACATAGTGAGATTGAGAACGAGAGAGATGTATAAATGTATCATCTCTAGGGCTAGTTGGGACTCGCCAGTTTTAGTGAGCGAATCAGCCATACATGAAATTATGTACTGGAAAGAAAATGTAAGAAAATTGAATGGATCAGGTAAATACATGTCTGAAATGAAAGTGTACGATATACACGTATTTTGCGATGCCAGTGGATCTGGTTATGGTGGTTACCTATATTTTCCGAGCAATGAAGCTCAATTACATTCTAATATTCAAATGAGTGGAACATTGTTATCCCCGGAAGTGGATTGCATGTCGAATGTTATGTTGAAATCACCGATTTCTTCAGCTGTTTCCCCGGAAGTGGAAAAATGTATGCTAGATAATACAAAGAAAAGTATAGATATAGATACGAAAGTCACCGGAAGTTGGCTTTTTGAAGAACAGATTAAAAGTTCTTCTTGGCGTGAGGTTGAGGCAGTGAATAGGGTTGTTAGAAGTCAAGCACAATTTCTCAAAAACAAAAATGTGAAAGTTTTTTCTGATAATCAAAATGTAAAATCGATTCTTTTGAACGGCAGTGTTAACGCATAGCTTCAAAAAATTGCTTTAGGTTTCAATGATTTTTGTGAAGAAAATAATATCCATATTAGCCCGGAATGGATACCCAGAGAAAATAATCAGATATCAGATTATTTGAGTAGATGTCTTGATTCTGATGATTGGTCAATATCAGATCGTTGGTTCAGATATTTTGATTGTATTTGGGGAATACACACAATAGATAGGTTTTCTACTCATTATAACACTCATTGTGAAAGGTTTAACTCTAAGTGGTGGGTACCAGGAACGGAAGCTATAAATGCTTTGGATCAGTCCTGGAAAAATGATAATAATTGGTTAGTTCCGCCGCCTCGGCTAATAGTAGAGTGTATAAACAAAATTGTAAACGAAAATGCAAGTTGCACATTAATTATACCAAAGTGGAAATCTTCAGCTTTTTGGCCTTGCTTGTTTGATACAAAATGTAATTTTAAAACTTACATAAGAGATGTAGAGGTTTTACCAAAAAATGGAATAATACGTACTGGTAAAGGTAATAATGGCGTGTTTGCACACACACCATTGCCGTTTTGTATGCTGGCACTCAAGATCAGGTTTTAGTTTGGAGTGCCAATATAGATATATTTTAATGAGACATGTACTGTATTCTATTTTACAATATTTTATGAAGTTTATAATATTTGCCTTTTCGATTATAGGTGTTGACTTAAAACCTTCAATCAGGAGCATGATGAACAACGCAGGAGTGGACATTCAAAAACATCAAACTGTTATTGATCACATGGCAGGTTATATTGTACAATCCCGGGCAGTTTCTACTAGACAGAAATATATGAACTATTTCAAACATTTCGAAAAATATTGTGTCAAAAATGGTTTTGTTTCCAAGCCAGCTTCATCTATAGTTGTAGCAATGTATTTAACAAACATGTTAGATCACGGAAAGTCGTACGGTGTTATTTCTTCTACCGTATATTCTATTAAATGGATGCATTCTTTGCATGATTATGTGGATCCTACTACGAATTCAATGGTTAAACATTTATTGGAAACAAGTAAACGAGAATGCTATGAACCTGTTAAAAAGAAAGAAACAATAGATTCGGAAATGTTACAAACATTACTAGTATCTGATAATTTTTCAGATTCCAGCGACGTGGTAACCTAAAGAGATCTGTCAAGTATTCTTTTAGGTTTCGCTGGGTTTTTACGTTTCAACGAACAGAATTCTTTAATTTGTTCAGATATAACATTCAATGATGATCACTTAGTGATAAACATTCGTAAGAGCAAAACTGATGTGTATAGGCAAGGAAAAAATCTGTTCCGATTTGTAAGGGTACTACTAATGCATGTCCTTTTAATATGCTTAAAAAATATATGAGGGCAGCTTGTCTTGACGTAACCTGTAATGAATTTTTGTTTAGGCCATGTTTTAGATCAAAGGGGGTATCGGCGCTTATAAAAAGTAATAAAAAGTTGTCTTACACACGAGTTAGGGAATGCATTTTGTCTAAATTAAAGTTAGTAGCACCAAATTTAAATTTAGGTACACATTCTTTGAGAGCTAGTGGAGTTACAGTGGCCGCTAACTCAGGTGTGTCTGATAGATGTTTAAAGAGACATGGCCGTTGGAAAACTGATATAGCTAAGGACGGTTATATTGTTGATTCATTAGACAGTCGATTGTCAATTACAAAAAAGTTAAAGTTATAAGTATTTTATAGATACTATTTTATAAACATATGAATAATTAATTGAATTTTAATGTTTTTCGTCTCAAGCTTTGTAATTTCTATACGTGTCTCGCCTTGCAGTTGTTGTTGTTGTTGTTTTGGATAGTGCCTGTTGAGACATGTAGTTCTCCGCGTTACATCGTATAGACGGAGAACTGTTGTCTCAACAGGTGCGATATCAAAACTGGTATAACCAGTTTGGTCACGTGATAAGAGTTATTGACCGTGCGTACGTACGATTAGTGGTCAGTTCTACAGAGACTCTCGCTTGGTACACGTCGTTAACTACATTAAAATTCAATAACATTTGTGCAAAATGATGTTTATATATGCTTTTATTTGTTTAATTAAGAGGCATGTCTGAACTGTTTCCGTTGTTCAGTATTTCTAGGAATAGTCGGGGCATTTCAATGTTAACGCATTGACTAGGCTACGGAAACACGTTTCCTCCTGTTTTTAAAAAATAATGAAAAGAAAAGATAGGGGGTTTTTCGTGGGCGGCCCGTATTCTGATGAAGAAATATACGTTTGAATTTTCGATTTCCGTCATGATTGAAAACATTCTGGCTTTGCTTTAGAGGTTTTATCAGATTATTAACATGACGCAAATCGCATTTTCGATTGTAGCATGCTTATATTTATCTAATAGAATACACATGATTAATGAGTGATTCTTGAGTTATAGGATTATATTGTAATAGAAAAGTATTATTGTAATTACGAATGTTTACTCCTCAGTTGTGTACCAATAAATACGTGTCTCGCCTTGCAGTTGTTGTTGTTGTTGTTTTGGATAGTGCCTGTTGAGACTAGGATCTTACATTTCATAAAGTCTTATATGAAATGATGAATCATATATGAGCCGGGTCATGACAAAACCAACATAATGGGTTTGCGACCAGCATGGATCCAGACCAGCCTGCGCAGTCTGATCAGGATCCATGCTGTTCGCTTCTAGATCATGTAACAAATAAAGAAACTGCTAGCGAACAGCATGGATCCTGATCAGACTGCGCGGATGCGCAGGCTGGTCTGGATCCATGCTTGTCGCAAATGCATTACGTTGGTTTTGTCATGAAACATATATATAAAAGCCAGTCTAGTGTTATTATAAAGGCATAAAGCATCTTAAAATACGAAATCATCATTTGATAGGTTATGTGTATTAGTATATTAAACTTGAGAACATGTTGCATATAGAGGATATTGAATGAGTGTAGGTTTTATACTGAATTCATTGAATGAGTTGAATAAAATCATAATTCATAATACTGTATTATTCAAGGAGTTCAATATATTTAGTATTGAATCTGCACAAATATAATGTTCTATTTATCACTTATTAAAAACAAGAACATTTTAAAGTTAAAAAGAGTCATTTTTCATTGACAAGCCTATAGAGTAATGCTAACATTAACGCACTTAAACGATATGTTGATGTCACATTAAAGTGTTATTATACTAGTGTTATAACGTTTTTTATCAAATGGCTTAATCCTGCGACATGGCTTATCTGATAAAAGAAGATAATTATCTTAATAAACCATCAGTTATATATTATAATACATGGAAAACAAGCTGTGTCTTGTGATAAATGTTGATAATATCTGCCGAGAAATGATGCAGGGGAGATAAATCTTACATTTGCCAGGAGTGCAGCAGTTTACTGGAGAGAAGTGACCTTTCCTTCTACTTTGGTCGAGTGCCATTGATAATTGAAAAAAATCTTGAAATCCATAAATCAAAAATAGTTCTAATGTGATTAACACGTGACTAGTAATCGAAGGATTGCTGACAGCGTGGGTTCAAACTCTGTCAGAAGCAAGCCGTTGTTTCCATGAGCAAGAAACTGTACAGTTATTGCTTAGAACTGGTTGGTTCCAGGAACAGATTTGAAACTCTTTGAATAAGCTTATAGCTTTCAACACCATCAAACTATAAATAAATAAGTATAAACTAATTATAATTTTCTTTCTGTTATTTACCAATATTTTCGCTGTACGTGATTATCTTACATGTTTACAATACATGTACACTGCATATATAACTAACTGGTCTTAAAACAGGACAAATAGACAGAAGTATTCCTAAAGAGACAATCCTAATGTTTTCCTATTATTGTGCACTCTTTGTAGGAGGTCATATACACTAATGGAAAATAAATGATAATTCCTTTCTTAGAATATTTTCCTGGTTGAACTGGGTTTTGTTTTGTTGTTATTTTTTTTTTACCTACGTATGTTGCCATAGAAGGAATTTAGCTAGTCTAGAATGGGATTAACTGGTGTAATTATATACAAGTAATGAGGAAAAATGATTGAATGATGGTCTTATAGGATTATCTGCTTTTAGCACATTAGAGATTAGGCCTAAGTCTTGTCTAGGACATCGAGGATAGGACAAAACAAAAAAATCCCATTAATGATTCTTTTTGTTGTTGCTGTTGATGATGACAGGGCCAAAACACCATTTTTGGGGAAGGGGCCTCAGCCTTTTTCTTGGGGAAAAAAAGCGTGATTTTGGCATACTTTGGGAAAAGGGGTCTCAAATTTAACTCAAACTTTTAACAAGTTCTTCAAAATAGAGAAGCAAAAAGCACTGGGAAATACTTATAAGGCAGTAAAAGACCTTAATTCAACACAATCATTTAATTTTGTTCTAAATTCTATTGGAAATTTCAAAAGACTGGGGAATTTTGCGGACCAAACTTGGGAAAAAGAGGCTAGTTTGGTTGGGGAAGCAGCCTATATTCGGCCTCTACAAAGAAGGGTTTTTTGGCCCTGATGTAATGAAATCATTGATATATTATTCGTGAATGAATGAGTCTTGTTTGCAACAACCATAATTTATTTAAGAAATAATATATCCCAAACAGTGATTTTATCGCTCAATAACATCACTGTTTGGAGTTTGGATGCGAGGAATTATATCACGAGGGCGTAGCCCGAGTGATATAATGATGCGCATCCGAACGAAAAACAGTGATGTTATCAAGCGATAAAATCACTGATTTGGATATATTATTTCGATTCTAACACGACATCATCAAATAAATGTTGCCGTACTTGATGTTAAGCAAAATTGTGCCTGATTTGTTTCCGTACTTATTTTCAGCGCCTCGGATTTTTAGTGGTTACGTCACGCTTATAATGATTACGTCACATGTCTAAATATAGAACATCAAACTGTGCATCTGTTGCATAATAACACACACTTTCTGTTCTTCTATGTTCAATAGGGAAAAATGCGGGTCGTGTTAGAATAATAGTTGGTTAACAAGGAAATTTGGTGGTTGCTTCTGTTTTATAATTTTTCCTTCACCATCTGAAGAAAAAGTTGAGTGATTTTTGCTTATCATTTGACCAATCCAGAAATATAATTTATGGGTAATAACAATTTTGTTTATAATTAATCATGGAGTTGTGCCTTGCATGCTTTCAATGAATAACAATAGAGTTATGACCCCTGAAAAATTTGATGACAGTATCATAATGGTGTAGACTTTTTATACAATTTCCAAAATGATTTATTATATTTTCAATTGAATTTTTTTTATAAACAATGAAATTGTTTTATTTTTTTATTTTAGAATTCATTTCAACAAAATTAAAGTTTAGTTATCACAATAGCTTTGTGGTAAACATAGTCCATGCGTAAGTTAATAGTGAATTCACCATGCCTTTAACCTTTTACCGCATGAGCATATTGTGAAAAATGGCCGTTTTCATTGAAAAGCCTCCTGTTACAAGTTCAAACTGCTATGAAACTATGAAAATGCTTCAATACTGATGAAATTTGGCACACCCATAGCGTCTGTAACAGCATGCTCAATCTTAAATTTCCTGTTACCATGGCAACAGGGGGACGTCTCAAAATTGCCAAAATCACTATTTTGCATTGTTTTTTCCCCTTAAACTGATTTCAAAGTGCTGCAACTTCTCAATGGATTGAGATAGAGTAAATGGCTTTTCAGCATTGGTTACACGTTACCTTAAGATTGATCTGAGGCCATTTTTAGCCTGTCACATGTCCAAAATTTTCTTGGCGATGAGGGGGACTACGGCCTGTTTCAAACCCCCTAAACAGAAGGGGGCACATCCGCCTTCTGGCAACCCCCTGATGTAACATTTGGATGGGGGTGGCACTGAAAAAGTGGTCACTTTTCTCAAAAGAAAAATAGTGCTTTTGGTGAAAAATTGTTGTTTTTGACATTTTTTCTTTTTTTAATTAACCTTAATGTTTAAGAAATGTTCACCCTTCTAGGAAAAATTTATACTACCCCATAAATTTCAAGACATTATTGCCTCTTATCAGATAAAGGAAACCCAGAGTGCACTGTTGTTTTAATCTTTGTTCAATTTTCTTTTTCTTTAAATTTTGCAAGATTTATTTCACAACAAAAAAAAAGTCAAAATAAAAAAATCTTGAAATATGTGCTGTTGATTTTTGTTTTCCTCTAACAATTTGATGAATGATAATCTGTTAATAGACATAAGATATTTTAAATATTTTTATTTTCTTCATAATCTTTAATTATACCAGTGTACTTTTGTTCCCTAGTAAAAGCAAATGTATTTGTGGCGAGTTTAAGTGTTATGTGTCTACTCTTGTTTGAAGATTGGCTAAAGATAAAGTTTCTAATTTATTAACTAATAATGCTGAATTGCTTGTATAAACAGTGAATTCAATAAATACAAGGAAATGATGTTACATTTTTATTTCGAAACAAAAGGGAAAAGCTAGCTAGTATTTTATTTTGAGTTAGGGTTTAGAGGTGTGGAGGAATTCTTTAGTTTTATAGTAGAATTTGAAGATTTGTTTATCATCTGAGTTGATTTCTCTAGGGTAAACCTTATACAGAGAAGTACCAATATAAGACTGTATTTGAGAAAACTTTGTACGTGTATTTTCATTTATCAGAAACCATAATTATGTTTGACTTAAATTGGACAGTATGAAAAATATCAATGTTTTATTCTTTATTTCAGTTGTCAATGTTGGCAGACTTTAGTGAGATACAGTGTATCAAAGTGGCCAAGGACAAAGATAACATGCATAGGGTAGAGCTTTCTGTCAAGGGAGATGAACCTGGGGTAGGTCTTATTGCAGTTACCTCCCTTTTGCAAGCTTTTGTTGATTTTTATATGCATCCACCTCAGACCTATTTTTCTGATTTATATTTTAGTGCAGAATCTGATATAAATTTCCCTTCCATGTATTAATCATAGAAAAAAACATATAAACAGAAGAGATCCCTACCTTTCCTTTTGTTTGCTTTAGATCAACTTTGAATGTGATACTTTGAGATTTGCATGATTTGTTTACAGGGGGAGTGGAGTTTTTCATTATGATTTGTAAATATTTACCATTTGATTTGATAAAGTTCTCTTTTTATTAACACATCCCACTGAAACCAAAAGTGATAAGCCTTGCCACCAGTACAGAGCTGGGCCAGCCTGCACATTGGTGCCGTGTGACCAGGCTATTACTTCAAATTTCCATTTTTGAATTCCAAAAATTGAGAAGTTCAGCTGGTCTATTGTTAATATGAAATTATGAATATATATGAATGGCATTTGATGTGTACTTTGTGGTAAAACAAAATTAACTCCTTTTGTCAAAAATTGGTTATTGCCTGTGTCAAATATTGGTAACTCCCTTAGTCAAATTAATCATTTGAGCCACGTCATGACAAAACCAACATAGTGCGTTTGCGACCAGCATGGATCCAGACCAGCCTGGGCATCCGCGCAGTCTGATCAGGATCCATGCTGTTCGCTATCAGTTTCCCTACTTGTAATAGGGTTTGTCAGCGAACAGCATGGATCCTGATCAGACTGCGCGGATGACAGGACTACCTGATATGATTTGAGAAATGCTTACTTAAGATAAATATGATTTCCTTGAAAAGTTAAGAAACTTACAATTCATATTTCTAGTAATAATGTTTTTAAGAAACCCCAGCTGATCTGTAAAAAAGATTGGTGATTCTACTAAGTTCCTTATTGTTTCTTATATAAAGCAAAGGGGGCCTCCTTAGCCGAGTGATTAAGGTGTTTGGCTTTAATTCACTTACCTCTCACTGCTGTGGGTTCAAATCCTACCAGGAACTTTGGATTTTGACATGTGAGTAAGCTACCCAGCTATTTTATGTCAGGTTGTTGGTTCTACTCAGGTGCCTGCTTCTCCCTAAAATAATGCACCAAGGGGCATTTTAGATCATCCTCTACCAGTAAAGCTGGAAAGTACCCATACAACCTTTAGATTGTCAACCTTACTTAAAATATAGAAAAAAAAACACACAAAAAACAACTATACAATGCCACTTTACATGTATAATGCCAACTGGTGGCATCTTGAACTTTTTCTGCATCAGTAAAGCTGAAAAATTACCTAAACTAATGTTGATGTGATTTAAAAATGTAAGGGACAAATGAATGAAAAACAGTGAAGGAAGCAGTATAATATTAAATTTATTTTGCAAGTGTACTGTTTTTGTAACTCATTTTGACAATTTACAGCTTACAGAAGTTTTGAAGAACCTAATTCAGAACAATAATATTGAAAAACAGAAGGTACCAGAAATAAAATAACATCATTTTTTGTCTAGATTAACTTATATATCCTTGCTTCAGTTTTAAAGTAGATTTAGTAGAATGTGCTCTTGTAAACGAAATATTGTTGCTTCTTTTTTCATTAATGTTTTATTATTTGCATGAATTTGATACTTCTCTTGGTTTTATTTTTTTGACTATAGTAGCTAGAAATGCTCTTTATCGTCTTTAAAAGCCAGTGCATGTTTCTGTATATTCAAGCTCATAACAAGGTTTCTTTTCAAAAGATATTGAGGAAGATTGTCCTGTTAAAAATGCTATAATTTCTTTGACTTATTGAAACATTGATCATTTTCCATTAAATTCAGTTATTTGTCCAATATTAAAATTGTCTTCTGGGTTGTTTATAAAGGTGTTAATACTGTACTGGACATTGTTATAGTTAGTCCAATAATATTAAATTGTCAGTTGGGATGATTTTTAAGGCTATAATCTTGCAAATTATATTGCCCTAGTAAAGTCAATATGAAAGTATTACCCGAGATAAAATCCTGCAAATTGCTGGAGATTTCATTTTGAAGTGCATAAATGGAAGATTTTCAAGGCTATGGTTGTACACATTTTGATGCCATAATTGATGTTATCTGGAACTTGGAAAATGTGGGTTTTTCCCATCTAATCAAGGAATATGAAACAAACTTTTACCGTTTAAGGATCACTGCTCTATTCTTTACAATAAAGTGATCAATGCTTTACAATAAAGTGATCATTGCTTTACAATAGAGTGGTCAATGCTTCACAATAGAGTGATCAATGTTTCACAATAGAGTGATCAATGCTTCATAAAAGAGTGATTAATGCTTCACAATAGAGTTGTGTGGTCAATGCTTCACAATATAGTGATCATAACAGCACAATATGCTGATCAATGCTTCACTAAAGAGTAATTAATGTTTCATAATAGAGTGACCATTGCTTCACAATAGAGTGATCAATGCTTCACAATAGAGTGATCAATGCTTCACAATAGAGTGATCAAAACAGCACAATATACTGATCAATGCTTCACAAAAGAGTGATCAATGCTTCACAATAGAGTGATCAATACTTCACAATACAGTGACTAATGCTTCACAATAAAGTGGTCAAAGTGTTTCGGAAATAATTGATATTTTAACCAAGTTGTAACTGTAAAAGTTTGTAGTTCGAGATTAGATTGGAAAAACTCACATTCACAGATTTCCAGAGTATCTCTAATTTGATAGTGTTAAATCGTGATTATGGGTATATATTCTGCTGTATAGCCATAATTGGTTTAATGCTTGGCTGCTAGCTTTAAATAGTGTAATCCTGCACTGGTTTTTATAGTCCTATATATCAACTGATATGTTCTTCAAAACTTTATTGTGTATTCTATATATAATTAGTTAGTCATATCTTTCCTGTTTTCCCTATATAGTATTCTACAGAAGACAATAATTGGGTATAGTATTATTAGGAAGTATATAAAAAGGATGTTGGGGCCAGTTCATGTTTTAATAATATCAATTACATGTATTTTGAAAAAAGAAAAATACAATGTACAAAACAAATATGTGTTAAAGTCTCATCATACCTGTTTTAAGATGCTCTTTTCTTATATAAGATATAGCAAGTAACCTTTTTTAGCTCACCTGTCACAAAGTGACAGGGTGAGCTTTTGTGATCGCTTTTCGTCCGGCGTCCGTCCGTCGTCTGTCCGTCCGTCGTCCGTCCGTAGACTTTTACTTTAAATGACATCTCCTCATAAACCACTAAGCCAATTTCATCCAAACTTCACAGGAATGTTCCTTTGGTGGTCACCTTTAAAAATTGTTCAAAGAATTTAATTCCATGCAGAACTCTGGTTGCCATGGCAACCGGAAGAAAAAACTTTAAATATCTTCTTTTAAAAAACCATAAGAGCTAGAGCTTAGATATTTGGCATGAAACATATTCTAGTGAGTGTCTACCAAGTTTGTTCAAATAAAAGCCCTGGGGTCAAAATTGGCCCCGCCCCGGGGGTCATTGATTTTCCCTATATGCATATAGTAAAAACTTAAAAATTCTTCTTTTAAAGAACCCAAAGAGCTAGAGCTAAGATATTTAGCATGAAACATGTTCTAATGGGTGTCTACCAAGTTTGTTCAAATAAAAGCCCTGGGGTCAAAATTGGCCCCGCCCCGGGGGGTCATTGATTTTCCTTATATGCATATAGTAAAAACTTAAAAAATCTTCTTTTAAAGAACTCAAAGAGCTATGGCTAAGATATTTAGCATCAAACATGTTCTAATAGGTGTCTACCAAGTTTGTTCAAATAAAAGCCCTGGGGTCAAAATTAGCCCCGCCCCAGGGGGTCATTGATTTTCCCTATATGCATATAGTAAAAAAAAAAAAATCTTCTTTTAAAGAACCAAAAGAGTTAGAGCTAAGATATTTAGCATGAAACATGTTCTAATAGGTGTCTACCAAGTTTGTTCAAATAAAAGCCCTGGGGTCAAAATTGGCCCCGCCCCGGGGGATCATTGATTTTCCCTATATGCATATGGTAAAAACTTTAAAAATCTTCTTTTAAAGAACTCAAAGAGCTATGGCTAAGATATTTAGCATCAAACATGTTCTAATAGGTGTCTACCAAGTTTGTTCAAATAAAAGCCCTGGGGTCAAAATTGGCACCGCTCCGGGGGTCATTGATTTTCCTTATATGTGTATAGCAAAAACTTAAAAAATCTTCTTTGAAAAAACCCAAATAGCTAGAGTTAAGATATTAAGCATGAAACATCTTTTAGTGAGTGTCTACAAAGTTTGTCCAAATAAAAGCCCTGGGATCAAAATTGGCCCCGCCCCGGGGGTCATTGATTTTCTTTATATGTCTATAGCAAAAACTTAAAATCTTCTTTGAAAAAACCCAAATAGCTAGAGTTTAGATATTAAGCATGAAACATCTTCTAGTAAGTGTCTACAAAGTTTGTTCAAATAAAAGCCCTGGGGTCAGAACTGGCCCAGCACCAGGGGTGTCATTGTTTTTAACTATATGTGTATAGTAAAAACTTTAAAAAAATCTTCTTTTAAAAAGCCCAATGAGCTAGAGCTTAGATGTTTAGCATGAAACATCTTCTTATGGGTGTCTACCAAGTTTGTGCAAATAAAAGCCCTTGGGATAAATTGGCCCTGCAACGTTGGGGGGGGGGTGGGGGTTGGGGGGGCCTATATACAGGTGAGCGACCTCAGGGCCATCATGGCCCTCTTGTTTAATGATGGTCTGAAAATAACCATTTTGTTTCTAAATGTTGTTAGAATTTATAACTTCATAGTCAGATGTGGAATCAATATATGGAAAATTATGTTTCCATACTGAAAAAGTTTTTGCAGGGTAAATTATCTGTACAAATATTGGCCCACTGTTTTAGAACGAAAAAAAAAATGGCCCAATAACTTTCGAGTGCATGTTGAAATTTAGAATTTGTTGTGCTGTCTAAAGAGAATTGAAATAACCCAAAGAAAAAATAGAAGAAACAAGAAAAAGAAAAGTGATGAGATTTTAACTTCTGACATAATATTATGGTGAAGGTCATTTATAAAACTGGTTCTGTGCTGGTAAATTGCCCTTTAATAATTTCATATGGTTTAAAGTGTTATAATATAATATATTTTGAAGAAATTTAAAATGGTTATAGTATGTAGCTTTTGCTCACCTCACAAGTGAGCACAAGACAAATAAATTAGTGTATTTAACCTCACACTTCTTACAATTTTAATCATATAATATTGTTACTATGTTTACTAATGATTAATGTTAAAACCTTTGTTCAACATGATTTAACAGAGATATAGGAAATAATTTATGTTTTACAGGACTTGGTGAGTAATGTGATAGAAATGTATGAATAGTCCAAGGTTATTTGAAATTATAACCAATTTTGATGGTTTACTAAAAGAAATAAAAAAGCAAATGTTGTATGGGTAGGGTAAATGAAATCTGTTTTTTTTTGTTATTGATATTATGATGGGAGAATTATTTGCTTCTGTGCATTAAAGAACTAAAATTGATCTATATATTAATGACCATTTTTCAAAAGATTTTAATACATATAGTTTAAAAACGATAACAGTTTACATTTTTTTTTATGTTAAGAAATAGAAAATCTTAGATTTTATATCATTTCTGTAATGCAACAAGATAAACTCAACTTTTACTTGAATTGATATTTTATTCTGAAAATTTACCTAAACTTAAATTGAATCTAAGATAATAAAAGTTTTTCTTTTCTATCAGTAGACAGTACTGTACCATAGCTTTTAACCCTGCACCTGCTAGATTTGTGAAATTGATTTGCTCAGATTTAAAATTGAATAGTCCATTTGAATATTAAGGGAATGTCAATATCATAATACAAAAATTGAGTTACAAACAGAACAGAGCCTTGTCAGTCTGCACACTGGCCAATGTCTCTACAACAAAGATTCATTACCAGCAGGTTAAGGGTTGAAATCTTAAAAACTGCTAAATGGTGATCTATTCATTTATGTTTCAGTTTCTTCTTACATTTCAAGTTGTTTCAAGTTGAACTTTTGGTTAAATAAATAGAAAATGTTTGTCATAAAGATATCTATGGAATAAAAAATATTTTTTTTATTTATTTATTTGATTACAGACATTAAATCTTGGTCTATTGAAAGAGGATGCCATGAATTTTGTGAGTATGGTGAACGGATACTACAAGATATTTGTAGATCCCAATGGTAGCCTGGTGCAGAAAAATGCCGGAGGGCAAAGCAATGATCCGGACAGTATGTATTTTCATTTTGTCATATACAGAGAATATTTTAAGACTAAAAAAGCGTGAACAAAGCGTATATACAATTGCTTGTTTCAAAGAGATCAAATTATTAGAGAAGCATGTTACAGAATGGGATATGAATTACAGTACAGATAACGAGGAATATGCAAAATCCTCGGAGGATCGAGGAAAACACTCGCAACTCCGCGAGAGTATTTGTCCATAAAAACGAGTGACTCCGCGTGAGAAACGTGTGATGAGAGTGACTCCGAGACGAAAATAAAAGCGCGTGACTCCGAGAGAAAATTAACGCGTAACTCCGTGTCGGTGTCTAGCTGGTGTAAATAAATGCAAGTGCAATTTAATTTTTTTTCGAAAATAATAAAGATGATTTTTACCGTTGTTGTTTTCAATTTACCCTGAAACAGTTGAAAGGTACATTTGATTAGAAAAAATCACTACCGCAAGCGTCATCAGTTCTCAAGTTTAATTTTATCCCGATTAATTAGGTCAGTAGCAATAACTACAGGAACCCGAAATTCTATCAAAAACAAAAAACGATTAAAATAATCCATATAATAACGGCCCAGCTTTTTTTTATACTTCTTTAAGAATTGAATTTATTATATAAACTTCATTAATTAATCTTAAATGTCTGTCTTGTCCAATTAAATCACTGCGACAGTTCCTCGAGAAAAAAAGCTATACAACTTCCTTTTGACGAAAATAATCTATGTAGTTATAATTTATGAAATTTCTATATTTTTTGTATGTTTATTTATACATCATCGTATTTTTGTTTAGATGTAAATGTTTCTAAATGCATTGCATCAAATACCGATAACGTGCCGTTCTAATTTATTTCAGGTGCCACATATTGTATTGTGTTTTTTTTTTCAATGTGGAAAATGAGTTTCGATCTTCTTAATATTTTAATCATTGATAACATGTGCACATAAAAAAATTGACTTTCCCAACTTTTATATTGGTTTGTATAGTTTCAAAAATTGTCATGATGCATGTACGTTCCTTCATACATCCATTGTTTACATGTATTTTAGTTACGTGTCAACTTGTCACGTCCGCCGTTTTTAACATTGATTTTAATTAGAAGACACTTGATTTATATATAATTTTTGAAAATTAACATTAACCTAATCGTTTCTAAATAAAGCTGCATGTTAGTAATATATTGTTGTTAACCTAATCGTTTCTAAATAAAGCTGCATGTTAGTAATATATTGTTGTAATTTTATTCCAAGAATAGCTCCGAAAAATCTGTCGATCTCATTCTGTTATCAAAGTCATATGTAGATGTATGTTGATATTGGAATCAAAAGTAAATTGTCTTGTGATGATCATTAATAAATTAAGATTTTTGTTGTTGTTTTTTTATTTCAGGCATTATGGAGGAATTCAAGTTATAGAGGAGTTAACAAGTTGACAGAGGCCGTTCAACTTACCTAGTGCACTGCTCCCGTAATTCATTCACCTGTAATCAGCTTTACAAAGATTGACAAAAAATAAAAACAGCAAAGAATAAAATGATCATTTTATTTGCTTGTTTTCTTTTTCTTTTTGCTTTATTTGTTTATGGTGTGTACATCATCTATATCATGTCATTTTATAAAAATTAAAAAAAAACAGTTTTGACAAAGATTATTCTACTTCCGATTTCACGTACATGTACTGTTCATAGACGATAAAACAATATTTTTATTATAGCATATGAACATATTTGACCGTCACAGAAAGCGGGCATGCATTGTACATGTACGTATGTGGATTTAAAAAGACCGGGATGCCTTTAAAAATCACTGCCAATCTCAATTTTCTTGTTGCTGTTTTATAATTCATGGTTTTATGTTTGAGACGACGCAGTGCCTGTTGTTTTCCCCCTGCAAACATCGGTAGAATTTCATAAATGAATTCCTTAATGATGTCCTTTCTTGTGCTGCCAACATCGGTAGAATTGCTTAGCAGATCGAACTTCTTAACTCTGTTAGAACTATATTGTTCTGAAAGCAATAGTAAAATAAATTAATACATTAATATTAAAAGCAGGACTGTACATGCCGACATAGGGTGTCGCTGTTTTGGCTAGTGCATTGTATGGAATGATGTATTACATCTCGTATTTCACGGATTTTTTATCAACCAACAATTAAAAGGAGACGTACATGTACTTCACATGGAAATCAGTTTGGTATCATTTATGTAACTGGTACCAATTTATCTAAAAGCCTGACTTAAAAGTATAAAATTACCTTCTTCAGAAGTTTACTTTCCAAGGCAGATGCATTTCACTGAAGAATAATTTGTAAACTGTCTTAAAGAAAATGTTGTTTTTTTATTCAGTTCTGGTACAAAGTATAATTTCCCTTACGATAGTATGTCAATGGAATGAATCGACCTAAGCACGTGGTTGTACAATGTACTTGTCGTATTATATATTGAAAAATGTGTCTTGATTGTTGAAAATTTTCATTATTTTAACTTCTTTATAATTCATTTATTATTATGTAAGTTAGTGTAACAATTTTACAGTAAATGGACCCCATTGGAAATAAGCTTTTAGCTTAATGGGCAATCCTAGGGAACATACTCATTAATTAATCTTATAATTATATTTGTTGCATTTATGTGTGTGTTTTTATATATACATTTGTATGCAAATTGATATATGTGTGTATATGTCTATTCCCTGAATAAATCGATACGATCTATATTTTCTTATTTTAGAATACTAAATTAAATAGGTTTTTGACACTGCGCGTTACGGGAATTGCGGGAAATCATCGGTTATTCTTTCCTTTAATTAATTAATGAATCAAGTGTGTCTACTTTCGTTTTCACTTGTGATACTTTACATCAACGAAGAATTTTCGACAACATTGTTATTTTGAATAAATAATACATGCGTTGAAGGATTTTATTTTAGAGGTAGGGCATTATATTAATAAATAAATAAATAAATAAAGCATACGTGTACCAAATCAGTCTTATTTTCTCGGAGTCACTCTTTTTGACTCCGAGATTCACGGAGTCCCGCGGACAAAATTGTCACTCGTTTTTGTCTCGGAGTCACTCTTTTTCACCCGAGAAATTTATAATCCACTCGGAGTCACGCTTTTTGAGATTACTCGATACTCGCAGGAATTTGCACATTCCTCGATATCTGTACTGTACATGATGACCAATTTTGGGATTCATTTGATTGTTGTAATGCCAAACTGAAATGGTAGCAGAAATTATGGAGTGATTTGTGCCTGAAATAATGAACAGAAGAGCAACTGAGGTCTAAAAATCCTCCGCCAGTAAAGCTGGAAAGTTGCCATATGACCTATACTGTGTTGTTGCTATGTAAAACAATGAAAAAAAAAAAAAACTAAACAAATTAGAGAAAGTATACAGTTCTATTTAGCCCATCTATTCTTATTGTCCCTTTTCCTTATGTAGTCAAGCAGGAAATTGTTGGTTGGATCACGGTTTGCCCATATTGCTTATTGTTTACATCTTGACATCTTTTTTCCCCCAGTTCCAGCATATGAGTGTAAGCACACAGTGTTTGCTGCTCCATGGAGTTACCCTGATGACATTGTTTCCATGACAATAGATGAGGAAGATAATCAGGGGGAAGAGGGAGAGAATGAACGTGTTGTGGATTTATCCAGGGGTCCACCTGGTTATGAGGGCAACAAAGAGTTTATCAGTAAACTGAAGCAGGATCTCGGCATCAAGGTATGCAGTCATTTTGATATGATGGACACGTTGTAAGATAGTAATTTTCTAACTGATTTAACAGAATAATAAAGTATTTTTTGCTGCAAAAAATCTGTATTACTAAGATTTTTTTTAGGATTGCATAAAACATAGTTATATGTTTAAGCAGTCAGCCCACTTTGTTTAATAGGGAGGGCATTGGGTTAGTAACCCAGGAATAATTGATTCGTACTCCGGTACAGCAAAATTTCTGAGTGATGATTGATCTCATTATTTGAGTCAAATGGTCAGTTGTCTTTCACACCTGATTCAGAAATTATGTGTGATTAGTAGGAGATGACTTTACTTGAGAAGTTGGTTATGTTACTGGTTGGTTATCCAGCGAAGTTGGTAAGGTGATATAATGTTTTTTTAGCATTTAAAGTTTTAAGATAATAGTATTTGTTCTATCTGGTGAAAGAATGAAGAAACAGACTTACTTCAAAACAGATAGAAATGAAGTTTTAAATTATTTCATCAACTTTCTGTGTATTGCAGTCAGAGCAAAAAGTTAATGAAGCTACAGAAGTTGATGGAGTGAAACAAATTACTGTTCCACCATCAGATCAGAAACCGTCAGTCAGAGTAACTTCCCCTGTCAGGGAACCAATGAAAACTGTGATAAAAATAGAATCTCCAAGGCCTGCAGAGGCTGTGCAGAAGCCAGATAAAAAGGATTCAGAGTCTATTTCTAGTGATACCTCCAGTAGTATGACCTCTGATACTGACTCGTCACCAATGGAGACCAAACATAAACCTAATTTTATTTCACAAGATAGAAAAAGGCAAAGACAGTCTGCAGGTCACGAAGAAGAGGAAGCAAATTCTCGTAGATTTAAAATAGATTCTCAGAAGATAAATGGTCAGTATTCAGGAAATAGTGACACACAGTATGCTGAGTACATGAATACTGGTAAAAACAGGAAACTTGACATTGGTGGAAATAATTCGGACACAGATAGTGGTGTAGGTGGAGAGGGAGATAGAAATCTATCTAGTTTACAAGACAGTATACAAGATCAGAGGAGGAGCAATGGAAAAGAGGAGGAGCATGATGAATGGGATACACCCCCGGGTACTCCCACAGATGCCCTGCAATCAGGTAGATTAGAACTTGCCAGGCACTCTGAGCTTCAGTTAGACCTCAGTAAGTACTAACAACACTAACAAAATATTTCTGAATTATTAGACTATCCTGCATGCAAAATAAGCTGCTGTTTGTTCTTGTTGTATTTTTTTTTTCATTCAGATATTTACCTAAGAAAATTATGAAATTGGTTACTTAGTAATTTTAGTTAATTTGAATTTAAATTCTAAAGATAAAGTGTATTTTCAAAAGTATCTTGTAAGCCACAGAAGATTCTTGTTTGGTCTGATATTACCTCTTCCCTTTATCATTTATAATATAAATGATTTGTATACACTTAAACAAAATGTCTTTGCTAATTTAGTAGTTTTGTAAGAATTCAGAACAATGTTATAGAATGGTATGAAATGAGTAGTGCAAAACTGGGTGTATCTCATTTATATTAATATAGAGATTGAAGAAAATATGAATTAATAAAAACAAATGAAGTATTTTATCAAATCAAAGATTGTATCAATACAATGTTTTACTTCTTCATCTTTTCACAGATGGTAAGTCAATGTTGGGAATTTAACAGTACATATTGCATAATTTATTCAAACTTTAACATTATAACAAAACTTTACCTATTTACCAATATAGATTTGTATCTCCTGAACTAACAATGCCTTAGAGTAATCACAGATCAATTATCTATCACCTTTCCACATAATTTTTCCTATATTCTTCACAAAACAGATTAAAAAAAACAAAAAAACAGTATGCTTTATTTACCAAGAGTCGTGGGCATTTCTAAAAATAGACCAGTGACGTATGATGACGTCACACGAACAAGCATTGAAATTACCCGAAAATGTTTAACTATTTGTATTTTGCACTGTCATGATCTTTTATGCATCTCTTAAGATTTATTTCCGATTATCTAGCCCATTTTATATAGGTACCATTTTGCATCCATATGCATTTTGCTTTTCCTTGAGTCGTGGCTAACATGTATGTCAACAGTATTGCAAGAAAACATTGGCCAAGTCTCAGTGAACTATTTCAAGTTACTTTACCAATTTATTAAACATCATTATATGACTAGAGCCTCCTATCTTTAGCGATTTAGAGTCAGATTTGATTAATTTATTCGGTACTAAACAGTCCTGAATAAGAGCTATTAAAGTTTGTAATCAACTTAAAATAAAACATCAGGGCAACTTTCATTCTGCCTTCAAAATCTTTTTACATTAACAAAATTGTAGTAGCAATTGCAAATGATATTTGAATAAAGCTATGTGGTTTTCAAATGTATCATATTCCCTTAATTTTGCTTTATAAACAAACATAACTTTAAGTTATAAAAAGACGGAGATACAACAAATGATTTTAAAATTTTGTTCAAGATTGATAATGGATCGATAATGGATATCATGATGCCGATGACCCAGTGTTGGTTTATATTTCAAGTAATAGTTCAGTGAGACTTTCTGTGGGCCCAATTTTGGCGCGAAATTTAGTCGCGCCTGTTCCAAATACCGGAAACCAGTAGGTTGTTGTTGTCGTCAAAAAATGTAAACAATCCCTACAAATGGCCAAATGATTCGATTATTACAGTATTTACAACTTTTTAACAACAAATTATAAGAAATATTGACTTTCAAAATACATTGTTAACCATACAAAAAGTCGTTTACGATTTTAACCCACCCACGACTCAAGGAAAACCCACGACTTAAGGAAAAGCAGCCATACATATTGCATAATTTATACAAACTTTAACATTATAACAATAATCTCCCTATTTACCAATACCCTAATTCATATTAGATGAAAATATTCTATCATAGATTTGTATCTCCTGAACTAACAAAGCCTTAGAGTAACTACAGATCAATTAGCCATCACCTTTTCCACATATTTATTCCTATATTTTTCACAAAACAGATTATTTACCATTAGATTTCTACACCATTATAAGTAATCACAAAATGTTGCTACTGACCTAATCTATCAAAATAAACCTTTAATTATTGCATTTCATCCAGCTTAAGAGTACCTAGGTTCTACAAGCTTATATTTAATAAGGTATATTTATATGTAATTTAATATGGTACAGTGTAACTTCTGAATTCCTGAACTTCTAAAATCCGGAAACTTCTGAAATCCGAACATTTTTCAGGGTCCCGAAATTTCTCCCTGAATTCCGGAACTTCTAAATTCTGAATTCCGAACAATTTTCCTGTAAAATTTGGGTTAAAGCAATTCAAATTTTCTTCCAAAATCCAGAAATTGAAAAAGGTGTGAAGGAATATTATAAATGAGATTTTAAAACCTTCAAAATGACAGTATCTTCCAATTAGCAGAAACCATTTATCTTGACACCTTATACAATCACAACCTGTCAAGCATGTTAAACACTTGATTAAAGAGTGAAAAATTAAAAATGGAAGTATAATATTGTTATGAAAAACAAAAAAATACAGTTTATTATTAGCTGGTTAAACAAAATAATGCTTTTGTATCAACAAATTCAGTTATAGATGATAATTAAATTTAATACACAATGTAGTTATAACTTTTTAAAAGTCCTATAATTTTGCCATTTAATGAATTTAATAAGCTTCCTATATTTTTCATCATGTCTTAAACAATTGATGTTCAATGTTAAACTAATTTTTCTACTTGTCAAGATTATTCAGAACTTCTGAATTCCGGAAACTTCCAAATTCCTAACATTTTGGCTAGTCCCACAGGTGTTCGATTTTCAGAAGTTACACTATACTTATTTGAGAAAAGTTGACAGTTTAAAATATGAGTTTTCCAAAAAAATTTTGGTACACTTATTTGAAATTTTTATTAAAAAATGCAGAATTTTATGAATTTTAGTTGATATATTGCAATATATTTCAATGCCTATTTTAATGGTTTATAATTTCTTACAATGTAAATACATTTTCTGTCAGTTTATACATTATTACTTTAACCCTTAACCATGTGACCAAAGCAGACGAAAATCAGCTGGCACACCTGTGCTTTCTGATCATTGTATGCCGTTCCTGCATGTTATTTACATGCGGCTCGTTTAGACATGCAGCTTGATTGATCCATCCTATATGTTTTGTTATATAAAGGTAGCTAGTTTGATCAAGCCTTTATGTTTTGTTACCTACAGGTAGCTTAATAGATCCGTCCTATATGTTTAGTTAGATTGATACAGCCTATATGTTTTGTTACCTACATGTAGCTTAATAGATCCGTCCTATATGTTTAGTTAGATTGATACAGCCTATATGTTTTGTTACCTACAGGTAGCTTAATAGATCCGTCCTATATGTTTAGTTAGATTGATACAGCCTATATGTTTTGTTACCTACAGGTAGCTTAATAGATCCGTCCTATATGTTTAGTTAGATTGATACAGCCTCTATGTTTTGTTACTTACAGGTAGCTTGATAGATCCGTCCTATAATTCAGCAACTGCACCAGAATCGCCAAGTTCTTCTGCATCTCTGCCAGATGTAGACAGTAGCTTTGCTGGCCCATTTGACCCAGACCAGTTACCATTGGAGATTCAGAATGCCATGTATGACCCGAGAATGTTTGCCAACAATGAGATATATATAGATCCAGATATTATTGGTAAGCTTATTATTATTATTATATTTTGCAGGATAAGTTGTCATATACTGTTTTCTGGTAGAATTTGGTACAGAGTTTATATTTTTAACATTAATGATAGGGAAAGCTATTGTACTCATGTCAGCGTCAGCATCAGTGTCATAGTTTGGTTCATTTTTTAACATAAGTTTGTACCTACAAAACAACTGAAGGGTATTGGTTTAAACTTTACACAACTAAGGTTATCTAATATGATGAGCACATTCCCATAACTCTGATTTACCTTTTTCAGAGTTAGGCCCCTTTTCATACTGTCAAGCACTGGGAATATTCGAGCACATTGTCTTATTGACAATGCTTGTTAAATACAGATGTATACCTTTCCCTGTTTGTAGCTATTTAGCTAATCTAGGTACCCGTCAGTGCATATATATTGGACCTAGGATTCTTCCCAGAAAAAGCTTGAAAAAAATGTTCACCACCTGAACAGAGTTGGTTAGATAAAACTATATCTTTAAAATATTAATCGTTCCCTCCTTCACTTTATCTAAGAAATGTGAAGGTTATTTAAATGCTAATACAACGTTTTTGTCTTTTCAGATTTAACATTACTACCTCCTTTCCCTCCTACTGAAGAAGAAGTCTCATCTAGTCAGCAACAAAATGGTCATCCAAAACTACACCGAATGGCAACTGTGTCCGGGGATGGTTCACCTGGGCCCTCAAGCCTACAGGTTAGTTACATAAAGGCTTACGGCATTCAAATGTGAAAGATTTAATGAAGTTAATACATAATTTATTTTAGTTTGATTGTGTAGGAAGCTATAAGTTTATAGAATCACTCAAATCTGTTCTTGTTGAGAAAAGTATGTAATGTTTCTCAAGGAAACAAGGGCTTGCCCCTGGTGGGGTTTGAACCAAGTGGCTTGTGGTCCTAAGATTACTTGTCATTAAACACTTGGCCATGCTGCAAAAGTTTTTGTAATGAAATAAACCTTCTGTAGTCTTTCAGTTGCTAAGTTCCATTTATTGAATTCAAGTGTGATAATGGGTCTTAAAAGTATACCTTTTTGTTTTGTTTAAAGATTTGGTTGATATTTCAGAGTCATCAAAGGTCCCCAGTTCAAAAGTCAGTCAGTGTTGGACATTGTCCCGATTTTCTTGATGATGATATTGACGCTATTATTGACAAACTTACTTTACAACCCCCACCCACATCAGATGCCAAAGACATGCAGGAATCTGCTGATCCTGATAAGCTGGGTACCAGCTGGAATGGACCAATGAGAGGGCAGGAAAATGGTGGGATGGAATTTGAAAATGCAGGATTGAGTAAGACAATAGATCTTGGTTGTTTAGCATTAGATGAACAGTATTCTTCCTTAGTTATACCACCTCCTCCTGATGAATCTTACGCGGTTCAAGATATAGCTATTGTTCCTCCTATAGAGTCTGTGAAAGAAAAAAGAAAACTGTTTGAAAAATCTGATTCAAAAGGATACTTGCAGGCATTTGCAAAGCAGGTATCTAGTGATGGTAAAAATTTATCAGTATCTAAGGAGAATAAAAACAATGCTTTTTCGCAAGGAAATGGAAATGTTGAAACAGATGCAACACAAAATGACAACTCTCCTGCATCTGTATCAGAAAAACTAAATGCTTTACTTAAGTCACTGTCTTCTAGCAATCAAGAAGAAGAAGAATCACTTGGACATTTTCGACGAACTTCCTCATTAAGACTTGGTCGAAGTTCATCTGTTGATGTGCTTAATTCTGTGCAAAATGAGGAGGTGAGTAAAAACAGTGATTTGGTCGTCGGCTCAGTGAGGGTTAAACCTAGACTGAGACCAAAACTGAGTATAGAAAGACCTGCTGAGAAGGGGCATGTATCAATACCTCTGAAAACTTCTTCTTTAGAAAGAGTGGAGAGTGTTAGAGTTGAAGAGAATGATACACGATCCAACTTTGATAGTGCAAGTAGTTTGAAATTCCAAAGAACACATTCCTGTGATGTTTTGCCTACGGACAAAAATGACAAGTCTTCGAGTGATAGTGAAACTGCAGTTAGTGAAAGTTTTGCATCATTGAAAGCAAAACTTCAGTCATATAGGGATAGTTTACTAAACAGAAGCCTGAGGCGGAAAAAGAAACTGGCTGGCAACAAAGATGATCCAGATAGGATATCTCTTGATGGAGATATTGGTGAACGTAAAAGTTCTCTCACTCGATCTAATTCATTCTCATCATTGATAAGAAGGTCATTAGGACGAGCTGCAGGCCGAGAATTTCAGAAAGCTGCAGAAGGTAGATCATCATCTGCCACTCGTGCTGGTAGTACTGGAGGGTCAGATGAAAAGACAGATGGTAAAGAAAGCCATGTGATGAAGGATAAAAAGTACTGGAATACATTAACCACACCAAGGTCAAATTTCCGACCAAATACAGGTTCTTCACAATCTCAGGTAAATATGGCCATTCTATTTTTCTATATCTTCTTTTAATTTTACTTCACATACATACAAGATTTTTCAAAAAGTTTATTCAGTTAGTCACATTAAACCCCAATCACTAAAATCATGTTTATTAATTCCATTTTGATCATTTACATTTGATTATTGTGCTTTTTGTGGTACAGTGTTTGTGGTTGGCTGCATAGTGTGTGTCAGGCAATTAGATTTGCTAAAATCGTTCACAAACACAGAAATGTTGTCATGGTGATCATCATCAATCCCACTGTTATGTTATATTGTGTCCAAAAACAGCACTGTGCATGCATTTTGTATTCTCTTTTGCGGATATTATGCAAATGTTGATGTTGTAGGGCAAAGACGTTAAGTTCGGTTTTCTTGTACCTTGCAATGAAGTATTCTAATAAGTGAAGTAAGAAAACTGAGCACTGCTTAATATTTAAATTAGTCAAAAGTGCCTTTATATATATATTTTAGCAGAATATAATGCCTAAGGTGTCTTTTCTTGGGTTAAATAAACAATCTGTCTTTAACTAAAACTCCTTTGCACATTAATGAATCATAGCTTTTTTCAGCCAAAATTTAAGAAGCAGAAATTAACAGTAACGAGTTAATCAGAGATATGTTAAAGTTTGATACTATATATGAATATAATAATGTAACATTTTATACAACCTGCAGGATGATTTCTTTATTGATCTATCTGATGAAATGGTAGGTGGCTTCGTACGTCATATAATGCACGTGCTGGGAGTGGTGTGAATCTATGCTTCCTCTTACAGTTAGCACGAGCAAAGTGGGAACATTGACACATTTTCTTTCAAGTCATTGTTTTGCATCAGCTTTATGATTAAATATTATCAGAAAAGGAATACATACAAATATATATTTGCAATATTTCAAGGTTCTACTTCAGTATCTTTAAAATTGATATACAAGTAAGTACATATATTTATCATTCTTTTATATGTGAATGAAGGAAGGGATTAATGACTAGTGATTTAGTTTAACTTGTTTCTTTAAGATGGTACACATTTGCAGAACAACATCTTTTGTTACTTGTACTGCAACATAAAACAATATTCTAAAATGGGCTACTGGTTTTTAGAATGACATTCCTAGTTACTAGTCAGGCATTTTTGATATTTCTAAACATTTTCGTACTAAGTTGCCGGACAATAAACTTTGTATTATTTGTAAAGAGGATACTTTTGCAATGCAATGCACCTTGTACTTGTCAGGCAACTATGATTGGGTCCTTGAATTCAACATTCCTGATTATTTGTGGAGAATGGTTACTTAATGGTCTAACGTAAATTTATATCCTTAACCAAGAAATTCTCCCATCAATTTATTCTAAAAAACATGATTTATTGCAATTTTGAACAAACTGTTTTATATTTTACATTCATATGAAATAGGACAGTCACACTATTGTAACATTGTGCTCATCCTTATCAACATCACTTGATGAAAATTTTGACCTAGTTTGTTAAAGAAAAAATATTTTAAAGCTTTAAATTAATAGAACTGTAAAACAATGACTTGAATTGAATAGCGTGTATTGGGGATCTTCTCTGATATATATAGACTCTAACTCTGTTGTTTATTGGTAGCCGATTATTTTTAGAATGATGTGAAATTAGGTTGTTAAACAGAAAATAACTACGTCGTCGGTAGTAGATATACCATGGTAGATCATGTCATGTTGTTAACACTGTGGCATTAAGCTTATGTATAGGTATTTATAGAAGATTGTTAGTTAAAGTGTGTGTAAAGTTAATAAAACTTATTGTTACTAATGAAATATAACGCAATAAGCGATGTCCGTAAATATTTAAAATGATAAGGAATCTTAATTGGCACACTATATTCAAAATCTTCACAATGGTGTTTAGTTGTTTGTGATTTACAAAGCGACCTTAACAAAAAGTTAAGGTTATACACGATCAAGTAACACATACAGTATAGATTGATAGTAAGAACTCTGCAGAAACGAGCTAAAAAGATATGATATCCTTATAGTAGCAACAGAAAAAAGATAAATTGAACAAGGAAAATAAGGTGCTTCTTTAATATGCCTAACATTTCCTTCAAGTTTGGACATTAGCAACTAATAATATTTACTCAAGCCAGACTTCTAACTGCATGTTCAGACTCTATAGGGATGGGTTGTATCTAATTGAATTGATTATTTTGCTTAAATAAATATAATAAATAACAAAGAAGATAATTACTTGGCATAAATCCTACGATTTAATCATATAAGAAGCCAGGCATCGTTGAGACAGTGTGGCAGATCTTGGACTTATTTTTCATGATCAGAACATAATTTAATCTTTCTTAGATTAGTAAAGTAATATATGCAACGTCTTGAAATTGTATTTTTAAACAATCTTGTCTTGAGGCTGGTTAAGTCTTAGACAAGGTTAAACTATGTCCCAGTCAAATGCTCTCATATCTGTATTTGTGAAATCGTGTACCTGTGAATGAGGCAGTTTTTGTCTTCTATACGTACAATGTGGTCAATATATTCATGTCATTCCTTTACCAGCTTCAAGCTTAAAAGAGTACACCAACCTTGGAAGAAAATTATTTGAAACAACTGGAATATCAAATTGTCAGAAAAAAAAAACGTTTAGATACATGTGTGTTATATTTTAAAATATGCCGTCATTTCAAAACCAGCTGTTTAATGATATATCTTTTTAGAATAATGCAAGTTTCATGAATTTAAAATTCACGCAACTGCTACTGTTCTTGCCAGGACTTGGTAGATTTATTACGAAGATTTATATTGTCTTTTAACGGCAGCAGAATCGCAAATTTTATTACAAGTTTTCATGAGATTGTAGTATTATTCCTTGTGTTGTATTTCGAAACAGTGTTGGTGTATTCTTAAAAGAAATTGATGTTACGCTTTAAATATATTCATGTATTGATCACAGCTATTGAGAATTTCGTTTCTTGTTATGCACTTGTTGTGTCAGGTGAAAGAATGAGTACCCAACTCGGAATATGTGTAATTAATTCAGTAATAGTTGAGATTATTGTTAAGGCCTGTTATTAAAATCTGGAAAAGAGATACGCATACGTACCCAAGCAACAAAATTACATGAAAATTGTAGATTTGTTTTGATTCACCCTGTTCATGAGATATAATTGAAAAGTGCAACACCCCCTTGCCCCTTAACTATATGTACTAACAAGAATAATCACTTGTCCTGAGCCAGGTTATCCAAGGTTTTTATTCAATTTTATAAAATATGACCAAATATTACATATTTTGGTTTGTCCTCAAAATACATGAAATAGAATATTTCCTGACAATGTCTTGTGATATTACCAGTCCAAAATTTGTAAATGGATGGGTTAGAGTTCGGATTGGCCTAATTAGATTTTAAGAATGACATTCTAGTTTGTGTTCTTTATAATAGTTTATTCAGTTTAGAATTTTGCATGATTAATTATATGTAGTAAAATCATATTTACCATTCGTTCACTTGACAGTGTGCAGTGCTGTGCTGTGCCATATATATGTTGCAGTTGTTTGAATGTATATTTGTTACAATATCATTTGAAATATCAGATTCTCACTTTTTTTGAAATTTTATTTGTTGCAAGATTTTAGGCATATAAAATTATACATCGTAATACATGTATTTATTGATACTTACTTTTGAAATAAAAAAAAAGATCATTTAAATAAGTTTCGAAAAGTCTGAATTACAAATTATTTTTAGAATTATTCTTACATATTTTCTGAAATACTCTCTTGAAATTCATCATTTGCCCTTCCTTTGGAAGCATATTTTGCAACATCTGTTAAGATAAGTTATATAAAGTTGCAGCGTGTGTTTGAAATGATATATATATATTTAGTGTTGTGATGTGTTTGTTGCGAGCTAAATATATCGTGTTTTGCTGTTTGTTTTGTTTCATCACCATGTTTTATCATCATCATCATTTTTATTCTGGATATTATTATCAGATTGTACAGGAGAACGAAACAACGGTAAATACCCAAATTAAAATTTAATAGAAAGGTTGTAGTAACTAGATGTTTCAGATTATTTTTGTTATTTTGCCCAATGTTTTTCTCTTTTCATGTCGTGGTTCAGTGCATCGAAATTTTGATGCATTTATTTTCATGTAGGAGGCTTTTTTATTACTAGTGCTTAGATACAACGATGTTTGGTTTATACAAAGAAAGTTTTTGCTTAAATAAACGATTGGTGTATAATATATTAACTTTTATATGAGTTGCTATATGCAACATATTAACAAAAACATTCTTTTGATTTGCAAAAGGTTTTTTCCCCATAAAGTAATATGTCTACAAGTTTAAGATTTAATTTCGAATAATAGCCCCAATTTATTTGCTCCAATTAAATTTACTGCATTATAAATGCTATCATTTACAATACCTAACCCCATATTGACTTGTTAAATCCTCTAGCACCAACTGGAATTTCTTACCTGCAATTTTATGTTCATATGTTTTGCTGCAATTTTAGATAGTTTAGATTTAATTTTGTGTGATTATTTTCAGCGTTATACATTTCCACTTAAAGTCAAGGTTTGTTTAGTTTTGCAGTGTTTTATTTTTGAAAATCCCTGTCAGATTAAAACGTTAAAATAGATTAACACATATTAGTTGTTTATGTTGTTTTTAATAAAAATGTTTAATAGTGTGTGTTGTGAAAGTTAACACTGCCCAAAGTGATACAACACATGTTGAAATTCTTGGAACGTTGTAGTTTCATTACCTTTACAGATCAAAACATGCTGGATTAAAAATATGGATTAATGCAGGGGTTTGTTTGTTTGTTTAAGTAGTCAACTTGATTGCTTAACATTGAACGTGGGCTTTTAAGATCATTTTTCCCATCCTTTTTTTACAACCCATAATTTCATCTAAGTACACACATTCTAAGTACATGGTGTTCTCAATCACACAACTAATTGTGATAGATTTCCATAACAAATTATCTTTGTTGATGTACTTTGAAATGCTTAAAATTGCCATTATCACAACCATGTCAGAAAACTTTTATTTGTCAAGCATTAGTTATTTATGTACAGAAGGTTGAATATTTTTTAAAGTTATCCAATTTTAGTATGGTCTTTGTGTGTATCATATTTGTAGGAAAACTTGATTGTAGCAACCTTTCCTTTGCACCATTTCATTTTTGTAGTGCCGTAGCAATGTTTTTCTTGAAAAAAGTAAATAATTAACATACTTAACGTACTTTTCAGTTGTTTTTATTCATTTAGAAAAGGTTTGATTGCCATTCAAATGAAATGCAGTATTATTAAACTATATATTTTAGGAGATATTTGAGCGTAAACCCCCACTTCCATCTACGTTGCCACCAGCAGATAAGGGGGAGGTAATATGACAGATATTATCAAAGTTTTCACGCGTGCTGAGGTGTGAACGTTTCACGATTCTGTTTTACTTCACTGTTCACATTGAGTGTTATTATTTAAGTGGATTGTATGTCACCCTTTGTTGCTGTCTTGTGATAAATTTTATTGTTTTCTCTATCTGATATGATCAATTTTTGCTATCCTGATGTTTGACATTTATATCCGATTTCTGTCGGCATACTGTAACTGTAGGGTTTCTATTTATACAGTTTTTGTCATGCATGTTATTGTAAACTGTGCAGATTGTCCTGTTTGTATCTATACACGTGCAAGGGTATATGTTCTATTCTGTCCAATGTCTTTGAAGTGATGTATGTACTGTTTGTTTCAAAAGGTATTTTAATGTCTTGCCTGTTCCAAATATGTTGTTGTCAAATCTGATACAAAATGATATGTTTACTTTATTTACTCCTTCATCGTTTTCAGAGTATGCAACACAGATAAATTGAGTTCATATATCAAACATACTACATTCTTTTTTTCCAACCTTGTCTCAATATAATATTTAATTTCAAGAAATTAAAGAATCTAATGTTACTACCAAAATATCCTGGAAATTTTGGTTTTCTGTTCACAAAATCTAAATTCCATTTTGATATTCCTATACGTAGGTTTGTTAATTTTGATATTTGTTTTAGCCTCAACCGTATCCTAGGTATGTAGCTTTCTTGAATGAATGAGCATTGTTCACGTATGTTAAAGCTTGTGCAAAATAGTAGCAAGTTATGATTTTGTTGTCCTCTTTAACAATGATATGAAGTTTCTGTGTCAATGTTGACTTTATAACATTCAGTTCAAGATGTTACAAGCGTACCAAACGTTTTCTTTGACTGCTCTATGGTTTTGTTTGCAGCATTATATGTCTATGTATAAATATGCATTTTGAAATGTTGATGTATCTAACCTCGTCTTAAAATGCATTTTTCAGTTTATTATAATCAATTTATTCTCTTAAGGAGAAGCATTTATTATATATTTGTTTGATATAATTTTGCAAGGATAGTGCATTATTTCTCTATTACAATTCAGTTTTGTTATAGGTATAGATTTATTAGAGATTTTGCTGTTTCGTGTGATTTGGATTTAACTGTACTCATCTACCTGTTTTTATCATGATAAGGTTTTAACGGACATTTATTAGTAAAAAAGTTACAAATTTGCCTGGCCTACTTTGAAAAAAATATTAAATAGAAACGATTGTCACATTTTCAACGTCTGAGCTAATGAAAGTTCTGAAAAAGAAATCTAACAGACTGTCGATGCCAGTATGTAAAACAGGTAGATGACAAACTTGCATGTGTTTCTGTTAAAATGAAGCTGTTTGAATATTTAAACTCTCTTAATACTTTTTCCTTAATACATTAGACAATTGAAAACTCTTAACATACAATAATTAGTATATATTAGAATTGTCAGAAAGCAATTATGTGAAAAGTGACATCTGTATAAATGCACAAGGAATTATGGTGCAGTGTTTTTAATTTGCATAATAACAATGTTTTGAAAATGTTTATAAAATTGATATTTTGGTATTAAGTCAGTATTTTTTAGAAATAATGTTTACACCATACTGTGTAAGTGTACTGTCTTTGGATTTGTTGATTTGTCTATTCAACCCTGTTCTTATACTGTATCCCAAATCATATTTAAAAAGAAAATTTATGTAAATGCTGTAGAATTTTAAAATTATGTGATATTTTCTCTATGAAAGTAAAGCATTGAATTATTATTTTTCAGACCAAAAAGCAGAAATCTGGACCAATAAAAGCGTTGTCTAGTGTGTTCGATTCTCCTAAAGCGAATGAAAGTCTATCTGTTCCAAAGTCCCATAAAAGAGAAAAGTCACCAAAACGTATGGCTCCACAAGCTCCAGCCTCTGCTGTCCAAAATACAACTGCAACCTCCACCACGTCATCTGTGATGTCTTCTGCAACATCGGTTATGTCGTCAGCGACATCATCGTCCGTGACATCTTCAAAGATATCTGCAAGATCAAAAGTAGAAACGCTTGCTTCTGGTTTGACCAAACCATTGACGATTCCAACAGCACCACCAAGACGTAAAAATGGACAGGGTGTAAGAGCACAATCGCCCATGTTGGATCAAAAGAGTAAAGACGATTCAGTGATAAACACAGAGTCTGCATCTAAATCAGATGTAAAGACAAGTCCTTTTGCAACTGTTGGGAAAATGTGGCGACCCATGTCCATGACTACTAGTGCATCAAATGATCATGAGGAGACTTATCAGAGCTATAATAACTTTGATGTTTTGAGAGACATGACAAGTGAACGGATGCAGATTCCAGCAAATACTGGTACAGGAACGTCAAAGGTTAATGGACATGTGTCAAAAGGTGTTCCGACTTCATCCAATACATTACCAGTTGGTAAAGGGAAGTCATCTGTTGTTTCAAAAGATGGAAAGACAGTTTCAGAAAAAAGTTTTGCATTGTTGCGAGAAAAAGTAAGTGCCAATCATTCCAATATGGTTAAACAAGTTCTTGACACTGTTTATACGTCGGAAGATTTCGTTCAAGCCACAAATGATGTGGATAGATTACTTAATGAATTGAAACAAACTATGGAATCTCTGAAATCCTCCAGGATTGATAAGAAACCTTTACAATTCAATATGTGCAAGGATGAATTACAGGCTCAGGTACGGCAGTTTGTTACGGATGCCAAATTACTTGTAAGTAACGCAACTCAATCAAAAGCCAAATTAGCAGTAAACATGGACGGTAGCATGCACTCGTTAGCAAAGATTTTTCTCCATGGGCAGGCAACAATGTTTATGATGGAAGCAATACATCAAGCTCAGCATTTAGGGTCAGAGGTTATACGAGTGGCTAATGCTTATAAGAGCACACTAAATGCTGCACATGCTGCTGTTGGGAAACCACTTTCTGATCCGCATATGAAATACTTGATGAGGCAAGCCACAAATCTGGCTTCCTTATTAAGCACGTTACTGAAAAGTTTGAAAACCCTTGAACAAAAATAACTAAAGAAAACACTGATTTACTCATATACAAACAAATTGTTTGTTATGTTATTGTCAGTCAAGTTATAGAAACAACGAAATAGAAAAGTATAACAAGGAAATTGAAGCAATATTATACTACAAAGAAGAAATATAGTCTTCCGAAATTTGTTTAACTTTATAACATGTATTTATGGAGAATGTAGTAATGCATGGAGCATGTCTCTCTGAAAGAGACAGTAAACAACACACCTTGTGTTTTAGGTAACCAAGTGCCAAAATATATAGCTTGGCATCATGGTGAGTTTTAACTCGTATTAATTTATACATTATTTACACTTACTGTAGAGCATTATTACAAGAAATAAGGAATCGTGGTTAATGCATCATCCATGTTTTTGTCCGTCCACTTATATGTTCATTTTCAGTGGAAAACTACAAACCATTTTAAATTTAAATTTAGCGTAATTTTCATGATAGTCTACCCATTATTTGTATTGGAAAACAACAATTTAACAAACATTACAGCTCTTTAAAACAATACTTTGTGATAGGCTTTGTTTGGAATAACCATGGTTCCTGTTAAAGGTAACAAAAACTGTAAGAAGGAAAATGCGAACATTTAATTTTTAAAAGAGCAACTACGATTCAATAGCATCAAAGAAATTTTATTCTATACAGCATTAGCCTGCAATTTGCATGAGCAGAACTTGCATACTTCTTGAATTGTGCATGTTATTATTGATCAAACTTTGCACTTAAATGTGTTTATAATATTACATAATTGTTACTGGTAATCTATTATGCAAAGGTTCCTTACTTTTGACTTTTAATAATCAGATAAATAGCAAAAAAAAGAAGAATTTACTGATGTATTTTGAGCATAACGTCTGTTTTGTTACTTGTTTAATTAATAGGAACTTTCTGATAAGTTAAATAATTTGAATGACAGTAGGTTAGCATGTTTTAAAATATTTCGTCCATTAGCCAGAAAAGATAAAAATGTAGTATAGGTGAAGTGCAAGTAGTTAGCGACAGTAATGGACACGATTTGTGTTTTGTTGATCAATATATTTGGAATATTTTATCTATATTTTTTTTGTAAGATTGAAAAATACAATGTCATTTTCGTAGGCAAAAGGTCATTAAATAATCGATTTGACACCTTAGTAAATTTAACTCATTTTGTTTCAAAGAAGATCTTGGTAGACAGTTAAACTCGGATTAAATGTGTACTCATACATTAACGAGCCTGAAATATTTTCATGTTTTTATCTTTATATTTTAATGTATTGGGTTAATTTAACAGATACATGTATAGATGAATAATTAAGAAGTAAAAGGATATAAAGATATATTTATGCTTGTGTTTTCAAAAGATTGATTTTTAACCATCCCATTTTAAACACCTGTAATGAAACATAATTTCAATTGTTGTTGTTTTTTTTGTTTCACAGAATTTTTTTCACAGGAGTAAAAAAAGAAAAACAGGAAAGGAGTAAGGAATTGTCTGTATCATAGAGACGTTTGTGATCATTGTTATGTAGGAGCTTGTTAGATAGACGCTTGTTATCATCTATTTATAAAGTTACGTAGTTTATACATTCCACTAATTTACGGAAACGTTAATGAGATTTGCATATTTTCTGTGATGTTTTGTATTTGTTGTTTTTTTTTTCATCTTTCAAAATGTGCTTTGTTACTGATTTATGTTTTTATATACATTTGTACATTGTTTATAATCGACCGTCTTGGACACTATTTATTTCAATATGCCAGTTCTTTTTTATTCTTTGAATTTATATTTTGAATTAGTCTACAGTTGGCACATTTTCCATTAATATTTCAAATACCGATAAAGACAATATATATGTATCATTCGAATTAATATTCTTTTAAAATATCTCTTGAAAAATGTTGATAGAATTTTAATAGAGCACTGTGCCTGTGGTTTTTGCTACTAAATACAATTAAAGGGACTCCACTGAGGTTTGAAAGCCTAAAAACATAAAATTTCTTACTAAAATGAGCTGGGGCAGCCACTTTAAACAGAAATATATGCAAAGCTAGTTAAGAAATATACTTTGAAATAAATTGAAAATCGTATTTTTTATGCTTTTCTTAGCCCGATTTGAGTGAAAAGTGTTTAAAAGCTTTTCATTTTGGGTCATTTTTTTCAATTTGAATAATTTTTCTGGAAAAACAAAGTGCGCGAATGATCTGAAATTTGCACTAAGATAAGTGGTCTAAACCTACATCAAATGGTACATTTATCTAGAAAAAATATTTTCAGTCCCAACAAGTCAAAAAAACTCAGTGGAGTCCCTTTAATATATTATTTACCTTCCATTATGGACCATTTTTTTAAAAACTTAAATGGGAAGTTTGTGTGTTATTAGGCAGTACTAAATTATTCGGAAAAATGGAACTGATAGATGGTGAGCTATTCTTTTTAATATAGAATAGATTTTGGCTAATTTTGTAATTTATACATTTCTTTGACTTTTAATGACATAAAGAAGAAGTTTGTTAAGCCGGCCCTTAACAGTTAACAATTTGTTTGGATTATCAAGGATAAAAAGTTAAGAAAAATATCAACATGTTGCACGAAAGTATCATAAAAATACTAAAAAATACTTTTGATAAAAACCACCGATACCAGTTAAATGAATGTATGTTTTATTACACAATATTGCTCCTGTTGTACAATATTTCCATGACAGTCCAACTTCATGACAGCCCGGTGTCTGTGATTTTCTAGCACTAGCGAAATTAAAAAAATGTACAATTAAAAGACTCAATTGGTTTAAATTGTTTTCTCAGTATACTTTTATGTCTTTCTTCCTATGCTCCTCCCATTTTCTTTATCTTGATACAGAGTCAATGATTGGCTGTTTATGTACCCATTTTGTTCACCAGTTACCAGAATTGTGCTACATATCTTGTTTGTATTTCTTTTTGTTTTGATATTATAGTATAATTGTATATACTTTATAGTCAATAGATTTATTACATACATATGGAGAGTATATCAAAATACAAATATTTACAGAAATTATTACTGGTTCTATTACCTTGAAAAATATATAAAATGTCCAGAAAATTAATTTGTCTGTTTTCTGTTTTTACCCCGTCCCCCGGTCCCGGTCCCACCCCATTAAAGCTATCAATTAAACGACCATAATTACTGTTAATACCTTCAATATAGAAGCGGGTCAGTCTGCATTTTCATACAGTCCAACCTGACTGAAATATTTTTAACTGGTATTAACAATATCCAAATTCAGTGCAAACCATTTTAGGAATCTGGTATAATTTTAGTGTGTGTCATAGAAGATATAAGTAAACACCCGTTTGGAAAAACAACACAGATCTTTACATTATTATATATATGTACATCTGCCAAGTTTCCGAAATTTAACATAATTCTATCTAATTCAAATGTAACTCGGATATAGTCCGTATAAGTGCTCGTTGTGAAAAACTTGATAATCATCCAAATTAAAAACGTTGCGTCTTTGCCAAACCAGCTATATCACTATATATATATCAGTTTAACTTCTCCTCCATTACATGTATATGTAATAGAAAGAGCATCGAAATACGATGCTATTTTATTTGTACGAGGGTTGACATTGTTTCGATTGCCGAGTTTTTTGATGTTCTTTCTCTTTTGTATCATAGGCAAAAAAAAACAACGTTCCCTGTACAGCAAAAAATAAGAAAAAGAAAACGTTCACAATATGAAACCAAGAAAAAAGTAACCAATGAACGAGCACCTGAATATAACTTAATTTTCTACCGCTTTCCCTGTCGTCACAATATGAAACCCCAGAAAAAAGTAACCAATGAACGAGCATCTGAATTTAACCTAGCTATCGCTTTTCCTGCCGTCCTAGAAAAAAGTAACCAATGAACAAGCATCTGATTATAACTTTTCTATCGCTTTCCCTGTTGTCACAATATGAAATCCAAGAAAAAGTAACCAATGAACGAGCATCTGAATAAAACTTTTCTATCGCTTTCCCTGTTGTCACATTATGAAACCCCAGAAAAAAAGTAACCAATGAACAAGCATCTGAATATAACTTCTATCGCTTTCCCTGTTGTCACAATATGAAACCCAGAAAAGTAACCAATGAAAGAGCATCTGAATATAACTTTTCTATCACATTCCCTGTTGTCACAATGTGAAACCCCTGAAAAAAGTAACCAATGAACGAGCATCTGAATAAAAATTTTCTATAGCTTTCCCTGTCGTCACAATATGAAACCCCAGAAAAAGTAACCAATGAACGAGCATCTGAATATAACTTTTCTATCGCTTTCCCTGTCGTCAAAATATGAAACCCCAGAAAAAAGTAACCAATGAACGAGCATCTGAATATAACTTTTCTATCGCTTTCCCTGTCGTCACAATATGAAACCCCAGAAAAAAGTAACCAATGAACAAGCATCTGAATATAACTTCTATCGCTTTCCCTGTTGTCACAATATGAAACCCAGAAAAGTAACCAATGAAAGAGCATCTGAATATAACTTTTCTATCACATTCCCTGTTGTCGCAATGTGAAACCCCTGAAAAAAGTAACCAATGAACGAGCATCTGAATATAAATTTTCTATAGCTTTCCCTGTCGTCACAATGTTTAAACACCAGAAAAAGTGTAATCAATCATCGAGCATGCTCTATCCCAGACAGACGGTGAGGTAACCCGCGCTGTGGGTAAGTAAAACCTGCATGTATGGGTGTACAACTAAACTCTGACACATTTTCAACATAAAGGTCTTTAAACTATGAAGGGATTCGCCAGACCTTCCAGGATCAAAGTCTGGTTTTTTGCGCTGACTGATCAGAATGCACATCCGTATAAAAAGTGAAACTGAATATTTAGAATTATCTTTAGAATATTAACAATTTATAACAGACTGTCAACCAATTCTTGTATTTCTTAAACGATTAATTGCAGAAACACCTATATTTTCCATAGGACTACCCTCCTATAATTTCGGCCAAAAAAGATCGTCCACGTGGAAAGAACTCATCTGACATGAAGTGTTCGCTCGCACTACCATTTTAAGGATTCCCGGTGAGGTCCAAACCCCTAAACATAAAGACTTTAAATTTTGAAATCTTTTATCAATTGGGGCACTTAAAGCGTTCAAATATGCAAAAAGATGAGAAAGAAAGTATATACTCGGGTTTAGATTAAATATATATTGAATAATCTGTAACAATTTTCTTAATAAACTGTAGCTGTTTTCTCTAGTGTAAACTGTTTATAGTAGATTTGCGTAAACTTATGTGTTCCACTGTAAAAGGTAAGGTTTTAATTGTCTATTCACTTCTTCTACGGACGGTTTATAGAGTAAAAGGGCCACATTTTTGAGGTTTAAACATGCTGTTCCTTATTTTGTCCATAAAGATTCCCGTATCAAGAGTCATTTGGCAGCCTGAGTCTGAATTAGGTAAATTTAAGTCGATTACTTTTTCTTTAAAACGATTTTAGCCAAATAAGCATCTCAAATAAAACTTAGAAATAACATTGCAATGGTTTGTAATCTTGATTGTCATTATTTTGATTAAACCTAGACATTCACAGATAACTGCTGTAAATCATAAAGGATAAGTACAAATTTATAAGCATGTATACTAATTTGCATGTTTGACATGCTCAATCGGACCACATTGGCTATTATTTATAATAACCTCCGACGTATTACAAATTAAAAGTAGTGATACTACCTGCATGGTTTTAGGTGTATACAAAAACAGGGTATTATCTTTGAAAATGTATAACGAATGTATATTTTTGACATCCAAAGGAAAATAAAGCATATTTCGGTAATATTATGATAGAAAATATGCCTGAAAATCACAATCAATTTAAAATGTCCATTGATGTACAATTAAAACCAAATCCGAATTAATGTCAACATGTATAGATATTTTGTAATTGCGGTTCCTACAACCATAATAAAACGTATCGTAAATTGTATATTGTAATGTTTACTATTGTATCTATAAATTTACTTAATTAACGTGGACCTTTACTCGAATATATTGCAATAAATTTAGTCAACAACTACAAACATTAAATTTCTATTTGTTTATTAGCGTAGTTTAAACTGGATTACTGTATCCGTCCAGTGTATTTTTACTATTTTGCTTGCGGTTCTTATCCGAAGTTTGACGAAAGGGTCGAGAAGATGCTATTGTGATATGCTTAGCTGTTTTACAGAAGCACATTTTTGCGTGAACCGGTCTGTAAAACAACTAAGCATATCACAATGGCCTCTTCTATTTCCTTCCCCTCAAACTTCGGATAAGAACCTCGGATACACAGAACGAATACAGTATTTCGGTCTTACCTACGCATGTAAACAAATAATAATTTAATGCTGGTTGTTGTGTACTAAATATATAATTTATTTTTGCTTAAACAAAATGTTTGTTTATAAGAAGAAATGTTTGTCATCTATATATTTTTCTGACCTCGTATATACCGCGCCACTTTGTTAAGATTTTATGGCACATACAATGTAATAGCGTTAAATTTAACGACGTTGTTATACTGTAGCATTTACTTTTATAGCTTTACCATGACTTTGTTATAACTATTTAAGTGCCAATGAAATTGCATGTAGTTCTAATTTAACTTAAAGATTATTATGAAACGAAAAGTTGTATGTGTGAGGAACATGTTTTAAGTCGGATCTCGAAACTAGTTCTATCGTCGTTTAATTTAGTACTTGATTTAAACAAAATGTTGTTTTTCTTTAAAACAAGACTTGAGTACCATATTCTTACATGAATGAAAAATATGACAGTCTGTGTAACAGATTATAAGAGCAAATAGTTACATAATTAATGCACAAAAAAGTTATGTTAATATAGTTTTTAAAAGTAACTGGACAATGAAATGAACAAAAAAATATCCACTTTAAAAAATGAGTTATCACATAGCTTTATTTGCTTTCATTTACTAAAAAAGTATACAAAATGGGATTTTACAAAGAAAGCAACTGGGTTTCTTCGGATAATTTTCAATATTATTTTCACTAAATAAAAATTTCTTTTTGATAATTTATGAATAATATACATGATTTAAGTTCGTAAGTATTATATGCATATTTTATTGAAAAATAATGAGGATAGAGGAAAAAAAAGTGAAATTGATTGTCAGAAATATACAGAAGCACGACATTGGCGTCATATACTTCACTCTCTGTATTAAACTATCATCAAATATGAACATTATTATTAATCAATATATACAAATCTGTCAATCTAGGATTTCTTTTCATGATGATTTGTCATGCAGGTTAGTGCATTAA